GGGGGGAAAGGAGGGCAAGCAGGGGGGAAAGGAGGGCAAGCAGGGGGGAAAGGAGGGCAAGCAGGGGGGAAAGGAGGGCAAGCAGGGGGGAAAGGAGGGCAAGCAGGGGGGAAAGGAGGGCAAGCAGGGGGGAAAGGAGGGCAAGCAGGGGGGAAAGGAGGGCAAGCAGGGGGGAAAGGAGGGCAAGCAGGGGGGAAAGGAGGGCAAGCAGGGGGGAAAGGAGGGCAAGCAGGGGGGAAAGGAGGGCAAGCAGGGGGGAAAGGAGGGCAAGCAGGGGGGAAAGGAGGGCAAGCAGGGGGGAAAGGAGGGCAAGCAGGGGGGAAAGGAGGGCAAGCAGGGGGGAAAGGAGGGCAAGCAGGGGGGAAAGGAGGGCAAGCAGGGGGGAAAGGAGGGCAAGCAGGGGGGAAAGGAGGGCAAGCAGGGGGGAAAGGAGGGCAAGCAGGGGGGAAAGGAGGGCAAGCAGGGGGGAAAGGAGGGCAAGCAGGGGGGAAAGGAGGGCAAGCAGGGGGGAAAGGAGGGCAAGCAGGGGGGAAAGGAGGGCAAGCAGGGGGGAAAGGAGGGCAAGCAGGGGGGAAAGGAGGGCAAGCAGGGGGGAAAGGAGGGCAAGCAGGGGGGAAAGGAGGGCAAGCAGGGGGGAAAGGAGGGCAAGCAGGGGGGAAAGGAGGGCAAGCAGGGGGGAAAGGAGGGCAAGCAGGGGGGAAAGGAGGGCAAGCAGGGGGGAAAGGAGGGCAAGCAGGGGGGAAAGGAGGGCAAGCAGGGGGGAAAGGAGGGCAAGCAGGGGGGAAAGGAGGGCAAGCAGGGGGGAAAGGAGGGCAAGCAGGGGGGAAAGGAGGGCAAGCAGGGGGGAAAGGAGGGCAAGCAGGGGGGAAAGGAGGGCAAGCAGGGGGGAAAGGAGGGCAAGCAGGGGGAAAGGAGGGCAAGCAGAGCAGGGGGGAAAGGAGGGCAAGCAGGGGGAAAGGAGGGCAAGCAGGGGGGAAAGGAGGGCAAGCAGGGGGGAAAGGAGGGCAAGCAGGGGGGAAAGGAGGGCAAGCAGGGGGGAAAGGAGGGCAAGCAGGGGGGAAAGGAGGGCAAGCAGGGGGAAAGGAGGGCAAGCAGGGGGGAAAGGAGGGCAAGCAGGGGGGAAAGGAGGGCAAGCAGGGGGGAAAGGAGGGCAAGCAGGGGGGAAAGGAGGGCAAGCAGGGGGGAAAGGAGGGCAAGCAGGGGGGAAAGGAGGGCAAGCAGGGGGAAAGGAGGGCAAGCAGGGGGGAAAGGAGGGCAAGCAGGGGGGAAAGGAGGGCAAGCAGGGGGGAAAGGAGGGCAAGCAGGGGGGAAAGGAGGGCAAGCAGGGGGGAAAGGAGGGCAAGCAGGGGGGAAAGGAGGGCAAGCAGGGGGGAAAGGAGGGCAAGCAGGGGGGAAAGGAGGGCAAGCAGGGGGGAAAGGAGGGCAAGCAGGGGGGAAAGGAGGGCAAGCAGGGGGGAAAGGAGGGCAAGCAGGGGGGAAAGGAGGGCAAGCAGGGGGGAAAGGAGGGCAAGCAGGGGGGAAAGGAGGGCAAGCAGGGGGGAAAGGAGGGCAAGCAGGGGGGAAAGGAGGGCAAGCAGGGGGGAAAGGAGGGCAAGCAGGGGGGAAAGGAGGGCAAGCAGGGGGGAAAGGAGGGCAAGCAGGGGGGAAAGGAGGGCAAGCAGGGGGGAAAGGAGGGCAAGCAGGGGGGAAAGGAGGGCAAGCAGGGGGGAAAGGAGGGCAAGCAGGGGGGAAAGGAGGGCAAGCAGGGGGGAAAGGAGGGCAAGCAGGGGGGAAAGGAGGGCAAGCAGGGGGGAAAGGAGGGCAAGCAGGGGGGAAAGGAGGGCAAGCAGGGGGGAAAGGAGGGCAAGCAGGGGGGAAAGGAGGGCAAGCAGGGGGGAAAGGAGGGCAAGCAGGGGGGAAAGGAGGGCAAGCAGGGGGGAAAGGAGGGCAAGCAGGGGGGAAAGGAGGGCAAGCAGGGGGGAAAGGAGGGCAAGCAGGGGGGAAAGGAGGGCAAGCAGGGGGGAAAGGAGGGCAAGCAGGGGGGAAAGGAGGGCAAGCAGGGGGGAAAGGAGGGCAAGCAGGGGGGAAAGGAGGGCAAGCAGGGGGGAAAGGAGGGCAAGCAGGGGGAAAGGAGGGCAAGCAGGGGGGAAAGGAGGGCAAGCAGGGGGGAAAGGAGGGCAAGCAGGGGGGAAAGGAGGGCAAGCAGGGGGGAAAGGAGGGCAAGCAGGGGGGAAAGGAGGGCAAGCAGGGGGGAAAGGAGGGCAAGCAGGGGGGAAAGGAGGGCAAGCAGGGGGGAAAGGAGGGCAAGCAGGGGGGAAAGGAGGGCAAGCAGGGGGGAAAGGAGGGCAAGCAGGGGGGAAAGGAGGGCAAGCAGGGGGGAAAGGAGGGCAAGCAGGGGGAAAGGAGGGCAAGCAGGGGGGAAAGGAGGGCAAGCAGGGGGGAAAGGAGGGCAAGCAGGGGGGAAAGGAGGGCAAGCAGGGGGGAAAGGAGGGCAAGCAGGGGGGAAAGGAGGGCAAGCAGGGGGGAAAGGAGGGCAAGCAGGGGGGAAAGGAGGGCAAGCAGGGGGAAAGGAGGGCAAGCAGGGGGGAAAGGAGGGCAAGCAGGGGGGAAAGGAGGGCAAGCAGGGGGGAAAGGAGGGCAAGCAGGGGGGAAAGGAGGGCAAGCAGGGGGGAAAGGAGGGCAAGCAGGGGGGAAAGGAGGGCAAGCAGGGGGGAAAGGAGGGCAAGCAGGGGGGAAAGGAGGGCAAGCAGGGGGGAAAGGAGGGCAAGCAGGGGGGAAAGGAGGGCAAGCAGGGGGGAAAGGAGGGCAAGCAGGGGGGAAAGGAGGGCAAGCAGGGGGGAAAGGAGGGCAAGCAGGGGGGAAAGGAGGGCAAGCAGGGGGGAAAGGAGGGCAAGCAGGGGGGAAAGGAGGGCAAGCAGGGGGGAAAGGAGGGCAAGCAGGGGGGAAAGGAGGGCAAGCAGGGGGGAAAGGAGGGCAAGCAGGGGGGAAAGGAGGGCAAGCAGGGGGGAAAGGAGGGCAAGCAGGGGGAAAGGAGGGCAAGGAGGGCAAGCAGGGGGGAAAGGAGGGCAAGCAGGGGGGAAAGGAGGGCAAGCAGGGGGGAAAGGAGGGCAAGCAGGGGGGAAAGGAGGGCAAGCAGGGGGGAAAGGAGGGCAAGCAGGGGGGAAAGGAGGGCAAGCAGGGGGGAAAGGAGGGCAAGCAGGGGGGAAAGGAGGGCAAGCAGGGGGGAAAGGAGGGCAAGCAGGGGGGAAAGGAGGGCAAGCAGGGGGGAAAGGAGGGCAAGCAGGGGGGAAAGGAGGGCAAGCAGGGGGGAAAGGAGGGCAAGCAGGGGGGAAAGGAGGGCAAGCAGGGGGGAAAGGAGGGCAAGCAGGGGGGAAAGGAGGGCAAGCAGGGGGGAAAGGAGGGCAAGCAGGGGGGAAAGGAGGGCAAGCAGGGGGGAAAGGAGGGCAAGCAGGGGGGAAAGGAGGGCAAGCAGGGGGGAAAGGAGGGCAAGCAGGGGGGAAAGGAGGGCAAGCAGGGGGGAAAGGAGGGCAAGCAGGGGGGAAAGGAGGGCAAGCAGGGGGGAAAGGAGGGCAAGCAGGGGGGAAAGGAGGGCAAGCAGGGGGGAAAGGAGGGCAAGCAGGGGGGAAAGGAGGGCAAGCAGGGGGGAAAGGAGGGCAAGCAGGGGAGGGGCAAGCAGGGAGGGGCAAGCAGGGGGGAAAGGAGGGCAAGCAGGGGGGAAAGGAGGGCAAGCAGGGGGGAAAGGAGGGCAAGCAGGGGGGAAAGGAGGGCAAGCAGGGGGGAAAGGAGGGCAAGCAGGGGGGAAAGGAGGGCAAGCAGGGGGGAAAGGAGGGCAAGCAGGGGGGAAAGGAGGGCAAGCAGGGGGGAAAGGAGGGCAAGCAGGGGGGAAAGGAGGGCAAGCAGGGGGGAAAGGAGGGCAAGCAGGGGGGAAAGGAGGGCAAGCAGGGGGGAAAGGAGGGCAAGCAGGGGGGAAAGGAGGGCAAGCAGGGGGGAAAGGAGGGCAAGCAGGGGGGAAAGGAGGGCAAGCAGGGGGGAAAGGAGGGCAAGCAGGGGGGAAAGGAGGGCAAGCAGGGGGGAAAGGAGGGCAAGCAGGGGGGAAAGGAGGGCAAGCAGGGGGGAAAGGAGGGCAAGCAGGGGGGAAAGGAGGGCAAGCAGGGGGGAAAGGAGGGCAAGCAGGGGGGAAAGGAGGGCAAGCAGGGGGGAAAGGAGGGCAAGCAGGGGGGAAAGGAGGGCAAGCAGGGGGGAAAGGAGGGCAAGCAGGGGGGAAAGGAGGGCAAGCAGGGGGGAAAGGAGGGCAAGCAGGGGGGAAAGGAGGGCAAGCAGGGGGGAAAGGAGGGCAAGCAGGGGGAAAGGAGGGCAAGCAGGGGGGAAAGGAGGGCAAGCAGGGGGGAAAGGAGGGCAAGCAGGGGGGAAAGGAGGGCAAGCAGGGGGGAAAGGAGGGCAAGCAGGGGGGAAAGGAGGGCAAGCAGGGGGGAAAGGAGGGCAAGCAGGGGGGAAAGGAGGGCAAGCAGGGGGGAAAGGAGGGCAAGCAGGGGGAAGCGAAGAGAATAAAAGGGATTGGAGGGGAGAGGAAGTCTTAGTGAAGGGAGGGGTGGTGCATTGTGAGGGAGTGATAAGGTGCTCTGTGAGGAAAAATCGGGAAGTGTGACCTGTGGAAAAGGAGATGAGCGACCTGGGGGAAGAGGAGGTGCGACCTGGGGTAAAGGGGAGGAGCGCCCTGTGGGGAAGTTGAAGTGCGAGTTAGGTGGAAGGGGAAGTGCGACTTGGGGGATAGTGGCGGTGCGACTTTGCTCGGAAGGGGAGGTGCGACTTGGGGGAAAGGGGAGGTGCGACCTTGGGAGAGATGGGAACGGAAAAGGGATCGGGTTTCGTCCTTGGAGGTAACGAGGCGGCGGTGGAGGCGTAGGTGATGATGCGCGACATGGAGGCTGCAAGCCGTTGAGGAGGCGCATCGGCGTGGCGGTGATGTGGACGCGATTGCATTAGCGGGGTGGCGAGGCGGCGATGAAGTGGCATTCGGGAACTTACATCGTGGCGTGGCGAGGGATGAGGGAGGGATGAGAGAGGGGAGGACGAGATGGGAGAGGAGAGGACGGGAGGAGAGAGGAGAGGACGGGAGGAGAGAGGAGAGGACGGGAGGAGAGAGGAGAGGACGGGAGGAGAGAGGAGAGGACGGGAGGAGAGAGGAGAGGACGGGAGGAGAGAGGAGAGGACGGGAGGAGAGAGGAGAGGACGGGATGAAAGAGGAGAGGAGACGACGTGAGAGCGGAGGAAGGGACGATAGATGGACGGATGAGAGGGGGAGGACGGGATGAGAGATGAGAGTGAGGGATGAGAGATGAGAGTGAGGGATGAGAGATGAGAGTGAGGGATGAGAGATGAGAGTGAGGGATGAGAGAGGAGAGTCCGGGATGGGAAAGGAGAGGGAGGGATGAGTGAGTGGGGGACGGGAGGAGAGAGGGACGGGAGGGATGAGAGAGGGGAGGACGAGATGATAGTGGGGAGGGAGGGATGAGAGGGAGGAGGACATGGTCCCGAGAGGATAGAGGGGGATGATAATGGATGAAAGAGGAAAGGAGGGAATGAGAAAGGAGAGGGAGGGATGAGTGAGGGGGGGACGGGGGTGAGAGAAAGGGGGAGGTCATGAGAGATGTGAGGACGGGATGAGAAATGGAAAGTGGGGGGGAATGCGAGGTGAGGAGGAAATAATAGAGGGAATGAGGGGATGAGAGAGGGGAGGAGGGGAAGAGACAGGGGAGGAGGAGATGAGAGAGGAGAGGAGGGAATGAGATAGGCTCCGGATTGGATGAGATAGGAGAGGAGGGGATGGGAGAGGCGATGAGGGGATGAGCGAGGGACGGAGGGGTTGAGTGAGTGAGGGAGGGACGGGATGAGAGAAGGACGGAGGGGCGGATCGAGGGGAGGCGGGGATGAGAGAAGGAGGAAGGGGATGCGAGAAGGTGGGATGGGAGGAGGGGATGAGAGAAGGAACTGGGGTGGAGCGATGGGAGGAGGGAATGAGAGAAGGAAGGAGGGGACGAGTGAAGGACAGCCGGGATGAGAGAAGGGGGATGGTCTGAAAGAGGGGAGGAGGGGATGAGAGAGGGGAGGAGGGGATGAGAGAAGGTAAGATGGGAGGAGGGAGGGGAGGCGGGGATGAGAGAATGAGGGTGGAGATGAGAGAATTGAGGAGGGGATGAGAGAAGGAACTGGGGTGGAGCGATGGGAGGAGGGAATGAGAGAAGGAAGGAGGGGACGAGTGAAGGACAGCCGGGATGAGAGAAGGGGGATGGTCTGAAAGAGGGGAGGAGGGGATGAGAGAGGGGAGGAGGGGATGAGAGAAGGTAAGATGGGAGGAGGGAGGGGAGGCGGGGATGAGAGAATGAGGGTGGAGATGAGAGAATTGAGGAGGGGATGAGAGATGGAAAGGGGGGAGGAGCAATGGGAGGAGGGGATGCGTGGGGGAGGGAGGGGATGAGTGAGGGAGGGAGGGGATGAGAGAAGGAGTGATGTGATGATAGAGGGGAGGACGGGATGAGAGAATGACGGAGGGGAGGAGCGAGGAGAGGCGGGTATGAGAGAAGGAGGGGGCGAATGGGAGATGGGAGGAGGGTATGAGAGATGGGAAAGGGGGACGTGCGATGGGAGGAGGGGATGAGAGAAGGAAGGAGGAGGGGATGAGAGATGGAGGGATGGGCTGATAGAGGGGAGGACGGGATGAGAGTATGACGGAGGGGAGGAGAGAGGGGAGGCGGGTATGAGAGAAGGAGGGATGGGAGGATGGGAGATGGGAGGACGCCATAAGAGATGGTAAGATGCACGGAGCAAGGGGAGGCGGGGATGAGAGAAGGAGGGAGGAGAGGAGCGATGGGAGGAGGGTATGAGAGATGGAAAGGGGGGACGAGCGATGGGAGGAGGGGATGAGTGAGGGAAGGAGAGGATGAGAGAGGGAGGGATGGGATGATAGAGGGGAGCACGGGATGAGAGAAGGACGGAGGGGAGGAGAGCGGGGAGGCGGGGATGAGAGAAGGAGGGTGGGAATAGGCGACGGGAGGAGGGTATGAGAGATGGAAAAAGGGGACGCGCGATGGGAGGACGGGATGAGAGATGGACGGATGGGAGGAGCGATGGGAGGAGGGGATTCGCGATGGGAGGAGGGGATGAGAGAGAGGAGGAGGGGATGAGAGAGGGAAGGAGGTATGAGATAGGGGAGGGGGGGATGTGAGAGGGGAGGACGGGACGAGAGAAGGCGGGGATGAGGGGAGGAGGGAGGGGTTGAGGGGGGGGTGGACGGGATGAGAGATAACAAGAGAGGAGGAGCGATGGGAGGAGGGGATGAGTTTTGGGAAGGAGGGGATGAGAGAGCTTTCGAGGGGGGTGAGAGAGGGGAGGACGGGATGAGAGATAGGAGGACGTGTGGGGCGAATGTCCCCCTCGGGAATCCGGTTTCGCACCTGATGCACATGCTTTGACCGCCTGGTGCAGTGCATGGAACACCTGGGACTCGGGAAAGTGCACCTGCGGCGCGGGGTAGTGCACGGCCCGGACGAGAAAGAGGCGCGACGCGAACTGCGGGAGCGGGACGAACAGGGGCATGGGGAGAGGGGAAGGCGGGGAGGGGAGAGAGGGCGGGGTGAGGGGTTTGGAGGCAGGGTGACGGTCGGGGCGGCGCGTGGGAAACTGAACGCGAATGGCAGAGGTGCATAGGCGGAGATCGAGACAGAGATGTGGGAGGTGGGGCGTTCAGGGACGATACGCCCATCGCAGGGACTAGACACGCAGTAGATGTAGTTTTGTGGACACGGAAGGCAAAAGAGTTATATGGCTACTGCTAAGCTCGGGAAGCTCACCAAGAAAGTTGTGGATCATCTGCGGGAGCAGACGACGGCATGATGGTGCATTTTCCAACCCTGGCATGCGTGGAGGGTTCGGCCACAGGCTTTGCGGGAGGTTGCGCGATTTCAGACGAGCTAAGGAGTTGGGCGCTGGAGCACTGGGGCGGCCAGCATTTCGCTAAATGCAGATCTTGAGGAGTGTTAGAAGCGGGTTTGCCTCTCAGCAGGCGATGAGGAGGTTGTGTAGCGAGGCGGCTGTGTGATGGTGAAGAGGCGGATGGGCGGCGACCCGTCGGCGAAGATGAGGTCCCTAATCGTGGCAAGGCGGCGAGCAGGCGACAATCTGGCGACGACGCGCCGACTAGCTGGCGAGGCGTCGCCCGGCGAAGACACGAAGCAGCCGGGAGTCGAGATAGGCGGGGAGGCGAGAGATGCGTTACGGCGATGCGGGGTTGAGAATGTGAAGTGGCGAAAGGACGAGGAGGTCGCGAGGACAGGAAAACGACGCGCCGCGTTTCCCTGCCGTCGTCACGCGCACCAGCGAGGACAAGTCACAGCAGCTGAAACCGACTACCATGTACTTGCTGGCTTACGAGCCTCCTACGTGCTCCTTATGTCGATGTGGCGCTTAGGGAGTGCATTCTTAGTTGCCATCTCTTGAGTAGTGCTGTTTCGACGCTTTGGCGTTGTGCGCTTTTGCTGGTTTTTCACATGCTTTGTTGATCGACTCACTTCATGCCCGCTGCCTTTTCACTTCCGCGGTTGATTTCCGCCCTTGCGCGGTGTACCCCAGCCAAAAACTCAACCGAAAGAGGTAGGCTTCGCATGCCTGGTTTCAATCCCTCGCACCAGCCGTACACCTCCTGCAAAATTCGCCCTCGAATCAGTAAGCGCCATAGGGTGTGCACTAACTTTACACCCAAAAGCCACCCCCAGGAATGTGCACCCTTGCTTTAAGAGAAAGTGGGAATGAGATGCCCTGCCAGAGCCCAGAGTTTTCCGCATTTACCCTAGAGAAAACCAACCATTCAGAGTCGTTTTTTTCAGGTCACTCCCACTCCATTCGCAGGGTATGATCTGCTTTCATGTAGCCAAGGAGAAAGTAGATCGCTTTGCTGATGCAAGGGAATGGAATGGAAGCAAGTCAACTGGTTGCTGTGTTCATCGCATCCAGGTCGAAGATTCTTTTCGCCTCGCCCCCATCAGGTTTGCGATACAGCTTTCTTGTAAGCAGCAAACTATCATTAGATCGTTTTGCAAACAACCAAACCCTTTTGAATCTACTCTAGGAGCAAACCCGCAAGAGGATGGCTGGCAGCAAGGCTATAGACAACCGCGATCCGCGCCCAAGCCCCAACAAGGTGGGTAGTTCGGGAGAGTAACTGTTATTTTAATATATTTTCTATTTATTTTGACCGTACAATTTCTGAGCTGCTTTCACAGCCTACACGTACAGTTATGCACTGTACCCACGTTGGCTTGCCCACAGTGTTCCTTCTGGTCTGGAACAAGCAACCAAGACCCTGGGCTGTGATGACAAGTCACTGTAGTACCAGCGTTGCACCAGTCCACTCCATACAGAGGAAACGCTTGTCCAGTGCCCATTCCACTCACCCCCAGCAATATTCCTGTGTGGTTCACTGCCAGACTGCCTGTCTGGACTAACTCTAGCAACCAGGGAGTATTGTGTTCATAGTCGCCGTTCTAAACTGCCGTTCGTAATTCTGAAGTGCCGCTCATAGTATCCGTGCCTGGTCGTTTCGCCAAACTATTTTCTTCTAACGCGTTAGGTACAGACTGGACTCGTTAGAATGGTGACATCATTTGGGAAAAGAAGGCTTTAACCGCGGAAGCTTCTGGAATGAGAAATCAAGCCGTTTTTAGGAAAATGGAGGACGAGCGCGTGTCGATAGTGGTCGAGTCAAGAAACGGCGCTGCGAGCCAAACAGCTGCTTACGGTGCGGAACCAATGCGCGACGTCGCTGGAGACGTCGCAGGCGAGTCGCACGCCGAAAATGACGACTTAACCACGTCGTCGTTCGACGAAACGACAGGCGGAAGCGGAGCCGCCGTCGACGGCGTCTCGGCTGATCTCTCTACTAGCCGTCGACGGCGGCGGGGTCTTTGGCGGGCGTTAGTCAACAAACAGACAGATGATGCCACGGGAACAGACGACCAACTGGAACGGAAGGGACTGTGGCAAGGAGCTCGAAGCGCGCACATTTCGTGCATACCTTGCGGCGGGCACATTAAAGCCACTGGCGGGGCCGAAGGTCACGACCGCGACGAAAACGGAGACCGAAGCAGCTCGTGGTCCAAGTTTCCGAAATCGATTTCGGGGAGTAGTGGTAGCAGGAGCGGACGGAGAGGAGACGCCGCTGACGACGGCAAGGACATCGAAGCGGCGATCCGCGTGCGCACCGCGGACTTCGACACGAAGAGCGAGAACCACTATGTGGTCGTGATCCACGGGACGTTCGACGCGCCACCGCCGGACGGCGCGCCGACGTGGTACCAACCGCCGGCGCCCGGCGAGCAAAACTTTTGCCGGAAGCTGAGCCGGCTGCTCGCGCTGGGACCCATCGGCGAGGATGCCATCTGGCGCGACCTGCCGTGCTCCGCGCTCCCGGGAATCCCGTACCCGTTCCACTGGGACGGCACCAACACGCACGCCGGCCGCGTAACCGCCGCGATGAAGGTGAGTGGGAGGAACGAGAAGGACGGTGAGCGGAGGAGGGAAGGAAAGGGGGAGGTGAGGGGTGTGGGAGGTTGCGTCTCCGGAGATCATGTCGCTAAATCGCCGCAGAGAGTCGCCAGAGAGTCGCAAGATAGTCGCCGGAAAAAAATGCCAGAGTCATCAGAGAGTCCGAGGATAAAAAAGTGGCAAGTATGGCCGAAAATTGCGGTGAGGTGTGTGGGAGGAAGCCGCCACCGCATCCGGTGTGGTGACGCGTGGTGGCGGCACGCGTGGGCGAATTTAGAGGGCGAAAGCTCATGACCTAAATTGAATAGTGTGTAGTTTTCTAGAGCGATTGACAAAATTACACCCCACTCGCTGCCGTAAGCGTTTCCTCGGTCGTCCGAGTCTGTAGAGTGATCGCAACCCTAAGTTGGCCGCATCTGTTGTTGATCATTCCTACTTTTTCATTTTCCCGCTGGAATCGCCCCGCTTCCGCAAGTGCCGCGCCCATCTGTTTGCGCGTAATCTCACAATCACGCGGAACGGGGAAAGCTAGCAGGGTATTTTCTGGAGGGGGTAGGGAGGAGTGGCGGGAAATAAAGATGAGGAGGTGCAGTTTCCGGGCAGGAGAAGAAGGAGACCAACAGGAAAGATGTTTTCTTCGGGTCTCTGTTCTTTCAGGGGTAACTGGAGTTTTTTTGGAAAGCATACTTCACCTTCGTGTTGGTGGACGAGAGCATCTTACCCTCGTATTACTTACAATTGGTCAGCCATTAGCTTTCCCTTTTTCCGCTGTGCAGTTGCAAAATTGTTGTTCCCCACCCCCTTTTTTCAAGGAGGGAGGGTAATGGCTTGTTATGTTCGGCTTTTTGTACAAATATATTTCTTGCCTGCTCCCACCCACCCCCTTCCTCAGCTGCACAATCTGCTCGACCAAATTGCTCAGAACGACCCGGCAGCTCGGATCCACCTGGTGGCACATTCACACGGAGGCAATGTGATGCTCAAGACAATTGAACTGGTAAGTGAAACGCGTAAGTGCTCCAGTGCATATCCGCATCCGCAGACCTAAAAAATGAGGGCTCAATCCGAAAGCATGACTTGATGTAAAAAGTTCTACACCCCTCTCCAACCACTCTGCCCTTCCTTCCCCATTTCCCCCTTCCCCCTTCCGTCGTCATGCTTCCATTGAGAACAGTACATGGTGACGCGGGTCCGTCCTTTCCCTCTTCCTCCCCCTTTCCCCCCTGCTCTTCCCCATGGCAAACTGGGCCGTGCTCCCCTCTCGCTCTCCCCCCCCCCCTCTCCCTTCTTCCCGCACCCTCCTCCACTCCCGTCCCCTCCTAACAGTACATGGCGAAGTTGGGGCGGCGGTCAAAGAACGAGTGGCACCCGGCGGTGGCGAGGCAGTTTTGGGCGGCACACAGGCGGAGCTACGAGCTGATCAAGAAGTGGCGGCGCATCGACATGCGCGGCTCGTGGTGGCGTTTTTTTCCCCTCCTCATAGTGTTCCGAGGGTGAGTTGTGTTCCGAAGGTGAGTTGTGTTCCGAGGGTGAGTTGTGTTCCGAGGGTGAGTTGTGTTCCGAGGGTGAGTTGTGTTCCGAAGGTGAGTTGTGTTCCGAGGGTGAGTTGTGTTCCGGAAATGGGTTTTGTTTTAAGGGTGAGTCGACGTACCAAGGGCGAGTAAAAAAACCACCCTCGTCTTCCTCGGCACACCCTTCTACATCAGAAAGTGGCAGAGTTTTCTCTGACAGAACTGCAGCTCATCTTGTATCTCCCCAACCCACCCCCCTCACTCACTCCTCCAATCACACATCCAGGTTCAACGGGCAGAGAGCGAGCGGAGTGAAGGAGAGCTACCCGTGGGCGTACCAGCAGTGGCTGGACTCGCTGCTGCGCCTGCCAGCGGTGCGGCAGCGGCGCTTCCTGGCGTTCCGCCACGCCACCTCGCCCATCACCAACGCCCTCGGCGCCCTCGTCTTCCTCGGCACGCCCTTCTACATCAAAAAGTGGCAGAGCAATGGCTTTATCTGGCTCTCCGTGTCCACGGTGCTCAATGTGGTGCTGCTCTATGTCTTCATTCTCGTCTACACGTCCATCTGGCAAATCATCGTGCTGCTGATTGCTGGCCGCCCCGAAGAGTGAGTAGTTGCTGTTGGATGAATATAAACACCTGACCCACTATCTCTTTATTCTTCTCCTTCTTTCCTTTTCTTTTTCCCTTTTAACAATCTGTGTTTTGTCTTGTGTACGTATAGGGTTGTCTGTTTACATTGCTCATCCTCCCTTATCTCCCCACCTCTCCTTTCATTTGTCCCAACCCCTCCAATTGCAGCTTCTATGGCCAGAGTGCGCCTCCTTTCGTCATAGCCACTGGAATCATGCTTCTCATCAATGTCAAGCAAGTCATGGATGTGAGTACACGACTTTTGAGGCGCCTCAAAAGGATGTGAGTACAGTACAGTGCGCGAGGTGACTTCATAGCCATCTCAAATTCTGTGTGACATTGTAACGAGGTAACTTCTGAGTCACACGAATTTCAGTGACTGGAATCATGCTTCTCATCAATGTGAAGCAAGTCATGGATGCGAGTACACGAATTGAATCTGTAGGCGGCTCGAATTCCATGTGACATTGTAACGAGGTAAACTGAAGTTCACTCTTCATCACCCCTGGTATTCGGTTACTCCTCATCAATGTTAAGTGTGCAAAGTCTCGGAGAGTGAGGGTCAGGTGAAGTCTGGTTGTAAGTATGCAACGACATAGTTACAACGAAAGCATTGTACAAGCGCATAATTTATACTTGTTGCTTTTTTTCCCTTTCTTCTTTCTTTACAGGTTCTGCGCACCACAGTGTTCTACAGTGGCAATCTCTACCACAAGCCGAGCTTTGATTGGTCGCCAGCCATGTCTGCTCTCGTCATTCATGCCGGCAAGCTCGATGAGGTGAGGGCCCTCATTGATACCCACTCATACCTATATCTACCCTCACTCCTCCTCACACCTCAATCCACCCTCCTCCTCACACCTCAATCCACCCTCCTCCTTGCACCTTGTCCTGACCCGACAGTCAATCCACCCTCCCCTCTCCATCAACTCCTCTTTCCCTTCCTTCCCCACCATTTCTCCTTGCTTCAAATGTCCAGTCCTCCCTACAACAAACCATAAATCCTTCCCTCCTTTCTCTCTGCCAATTCTACCATTCCTGTTCCAAGATCTCCCCACCCCTCCCCCTTCCCCCTCCATCACCCTGCCACCCGGCCCCATCCCCCCCCCCCCCAACCTCCTTGTCCCTTCCAATCATAATCCCCTTTCCTGTGTGTGTGTGTGTGTGTGTGTGTGTGTGTGCGTGCGCATGCGTGTGTGTGTGAGTGAGTGCGTGCATGCGTGTGTGTGTGCGTACGTGTGTGTGTATTTGTGTGTGTGTGTGTGTGTGTGTGTGTGTGTGCGTGAGTGAGTGCATGCGTGTGCGTGTGTGTGTGTGTGTGTGTGTGTTTTTTTTTTTTTTCCTTCAACCCAACAGGCCAGTCTAGCTCTATCCATGGAGCCAATCACGCGCGCTTACGTCTTCCCCCACCTGACAAAACTCCTGAAGCAGACCCCCTGGGCGCCCTTCCCCAAGCCTCCCACGCGCTACGCACGCCAGGTGGACTGGTGGGCCTTTTTCTTCCACTGCGCCATCATTTTCGTGTGGGACACACTCTTCTTTCTTCCAGCCGCCATCATGTCCGTCTGCTCGCACATCATCGCGCCCATCGTGACTGGCTCGCTCCAGAAGATGATTGTCACCGTCAGCTTCGGGCTGTCGCCTGGCGATTTGAACTATGCGTACATTTACGTGGATGAGCACTTGGATCTGGATTTGGCTACTCAGCAAGTTGACCACTGGAACGTCCAGGTTGGTAACATATCTGTGTCTTGGGTGTGCTTTTAAATACTTTCATGACCATTTTTTTTTTTTTTTTTTTTTTTCCTCGAATGCTCTGGTCACCCGCTTTAACTCGCCTGAGTCAGCAAGAAATCGCATACTATTTCTCTTCCCTTTCCTCTCCCCTCTCCCTTCCAGAAACTGCTGGCAGAAGCGAAGACCAAGTCACTCAAGGGAGAGTTGATGCCTCCCTCCCCAACCCCCTACCCTCCCTAATTCTCCTCCACCCCCCCTTTCCCCCCAACCCCTCACCCTCCCCTCTCCAGAAACTGCTGGCAGAGGCGAAGACCAAGTCGCTCAAGGGAGAGTTGATGCCCGGCTATGAGGACGACACAGTGGAGCAACCCGAGTGGCTGGAACCCGTATTGCAGTCGCCCCGCCCGCCCTCACACCTGCACTCTCCACATGAAGCAACACCAACAGGAGCAGCAGAATCAGCAGCGGCTGCTTCTGCTGGTTCTCCCGTTGATCCCTCAACCTCTCCCCTCGGCACGCAGCAGACTCAGGGCGCGTTCGGGAGACCATGGAACAGGAAGGGAGCCAGGGGCGGGCGGCTGACAACGCTGGCTGCAGTGGCGGAGGCAGTAGTAGAAGCAAATGAAAGGGGGTTGAGTTTCGGGTCACCTGAGAGGGAACCACAGGCAGGAGCATCTGTAGGGGTGCATGAGAGGGAGGGGGTAGGAGCAGCAGCAAGGGGCTATCAGGCAGGTGAGACTGCAGCAGAATGGTCTGAGCAAGCCCAGGCAGGGGTAGGCGCGGGGAGGGGAGGAGGAGAGGGGAGAGAGGCGGAGGGGCGTGTGGTTATGGGAGGGGTTGCAGAACGGGTGGTGCAGAAGGGGGGGAGTGGGGGAGAGGAAGAGTGGTTTGATGCACCCGAAGGAGAGTGGGAGGGAAGGGGGGGGAAAAGCCCGCAGAAGCAACAGACGCAGCAGAAGCCGCAGAAGCAGCAGAAGTTGTTGAGAAATGTCAGCTTGGACCGACCAGAGGAGGAGCAGCAGAGCCTGGAACGAGCGGCTGAATTTCTGGCTGGCTTAAACTCGCCTCCAGTGCCATCTCCATCGCCTCTACCCCGGCCGCTGCCACACGCGCCTCCAGCCTTCTCGCCTCACGCAGCAGGCCTCCCCACCTTGTCTGTTCCTGGTGTTCCTGGGGGTTCTTCAACAACTCGTGCTGGCGACCCAGCCCATTCCACGGCGGACGAAGCTTCTGGGAAGGTGCATGACGATGCTTCTGCATCAGCAGCAGCCGCAGCAGCCGCAGCAGCCACGTCCGTGCCAGAAGCACCGGCTGAAAGTGGAAAAGAGAAGCTAGTGTACGAGTTCCTGTGGGACGACCAGGAGCTGGCAGTGATGGCAGAACAATCACAGACCTTCCAGCGGCTCAAGTCCCAAATGAACAAAATCGGGCGCAACCCGCGGCTGAGCGAGCGCGAGTTTGAGCGGCAGTTGCAGCAGCTGTGTGTCATGATTGAGGAACGAATGGGAGAGCTCACCGGGCGTTTCGACTTGAATCACGGGGCGTATTTCCGTGACCCGCGCATCCTGCGTGTCATTGCGCATTTCATTGAGAAAAGGGAGCTGCCGGAGTGGTCCAAAGGGATTGACGGGGATATCTGGCGGTGGAACGAGAATCTGGCTAAGATCCAGTCAAAGCAGCTGCAGCAGATGGCCATGGGGGGTGGTGGGGCCGGAGCGGGAGGACCGGGAAATTCGGGAGGTTCGGGAGGTTTGGGAGGTTCGGGAGGGAAGGTAGGAGAGAGCTCGTCAAGAGAGAAGGAGGGTTCTGGCGGCTCTAGTGGTGCCGCGAAGCTGAGGTCTCTGATTAAGAGCATGCGAGGAGGGAGCGGGAGGGAAGGTGGGGTCAAAAGATCATCTCCCAGTTTTGAGAACATTGACTTCAATGCTGTTGATGGGTCTGGCTCCTTGGGTTCTGAAGGAGGCTCGGAAGGAGGCTCGGTAAGAGGCATGTCAAATTACAGTGGCTTGGACAGCGTGAAGGGCAAAGCTGTCAGCTTCGGCGTTTCTGGGGCGCCTCGGCCGAAGCTGGACTTGCCGAACCTGAAACCCGCGGCTATTGCAGCTCCTCTTAGAAAGATAAGGTCGACGGTGGTTGGTGTAGCATCTACAGTGTCGTCTACAGTGAATGTTTCGCGGCATCAAGGGGATTCTGTTCCAACAGCTTTAAATCCGCATCATCAATAGCAGGAGCAGCAGCAGGATCAGCAGCAGCAGGGATGGGAACGTGTGACGGATGGGATGTGAAGCTGCAACATTAGCAGCAGTGGAATGGCAGGACCGGTAGCAAGACTGAGTTGAGATGCCGAGAACAATTTTAGTCGCCTCAAAAGGCTGCAGTGGAAGCAGTGGAAGTGGGTAGGAGCAGGAGTGGGGGGTGGTGGACGTGGCGGTTAACTTGTGTATGTATTGCGGTGGGTGATGGTGATGAAGATGGCAGCAATGGTTACAGTGGACTTTGTGGCTCTCAAAACCTTACATGATTGACTATACCATGCATAGTATCTAACTTTTGCATGTTGTGCTTGCTAACTTAATCCATCCCAGTAGGGATGCCAGTACCTTGAGCTAATCCTTTCTGTTGATTTTATTTAGGTCTGCTACCTGATATATAGTGGTTGGGTCTCTCACAGTTAATGTACGTCATAACACGCAAACTAGACATTTAAGTACAGTCTGAAATAGTATAAAAGCATAGGCAGTATAGAGATTGTACATTTAGCTGGCGTTCCGTTTACTGACTTAGAGGAAACCTCATCCCCTTAACCAGCTCTTGAAGCCCCTTCTTCAACCTCCCTGCAGCAACCTTGTACTTTTCCGCGGGTAAGTTTGCAAAAGACACCCTAATATGCCCGGGTGCACCGCTCGCACTCCCCGGAATAACCACCACACCATGTTCACTCACCAACCACCTCACCACAGCCCCATCATCTTCACATCCTTCCGGAAGCTTCGCCCAAAGGTAAATCGCCCCCTCCCCGCCCCACACCCGCCCTCCAACCCCCGGACCTGTGAGCATGGCTAGGGCGTCCCGAGCCTGCTCCAGGTTCGGGGATAGGGTCTGGATAAGGCGGTCGACGAAGGGTTTCCCGGCGGAAGGGGATTGGAGGGCGGCGAGGGCTGCTTGCTGGCCAATGAGATTGGCGCAAATGGGGATGGTGTCCTGGGCTTTAATGAGAGACGGGCCAAGCCTAGGGGAGGAGTTGGGGTACGCGATCTGGGTGGAGGGGTAGAGGGAGGGGGGAAAAGGGGGACACGAGAGGGGGATAGAAGGTAGCGGGAAATTGGGTGAGACCGTGAGACTGGCACAGATGGGGATGGTGTCTTGGGCTTTAATGAGAGAGGGGCTGAGATGAGAGGAAGAGCTGGGGTAGGTGATCTGGGTGGAGCGGCGTGAAGGTGTATGAAGAGGTGCAAGGAAGAGAATAATGTTCCCACGCTGGTGAGAATCAATCCACTCACATAGCCAACGCGCCATCCCATCATGCCATAGGCCTTGGAGAAGGAGAAGATGTTGAGCACGTGAGGGGCCTCCAGGCACACATGGCATGAGTGTATCCCGTAGGCCCATCACTCACACATCCCACTGTTACTTACATCGCATCGCACATCCCACTCGCTACTCACATAGCCAACACGCCACCCCATCATGCCATAGGCCTTGGAGAAGGAGAAGATGTTGAGCACGTGAGGGGCCTCCAGGCACACATGGCGGTTACCACCGTACATAAAGTACCTGAGGGTGTTTGGAGGGCACACAGGAAAAGGGAAACAAACATGGTTATTGTTTCAGGCCTTTAACAAATCGCCCTCCAGGGTCCAGCCACATGTGGCGGTTACCACCGTACATGAAGTACCCGGGGCGGGAGGGAGTGTTTGGAGAGCACAGCACGGGCAAGGGAGGGGACCATGGGTTTCAGGACCTAAAGAATTGCCCGCTGCACACATGGCGGTTAGTACCACTGCACATGATGTACCTGGGTGCGTGTGTTTCGAGCATGGGGCATGGCAGCAGGGGTATTTTATTGTACAAGGTGCCTTAGAGCACATGGCATGTATGGCACATCGCACATGCTGTTTGGAGCGGCGTAAAAAAGTCTCAAGGGGAATATGATAACATGATACATCGCGACTCAAGGGGATATGTATTCTTGAGTCGACTTGAAAAGGGGGTGTATATAATGCGAGTGTTATCATTTTAAGGAGGGGGAATACGTACTCGTAGGTGTTGTCAAGCACCAGCCAGGAGCCAGCCTTCTCACATATAGCGGAGATTCTCTGTAGCGGGGATAGGGATAAGGAAGGGTATTGCACGCAACAATGCAGGGAGGTGGAAGAAGGGCAGAAAAGCTGAAAAAGAAGGAGCGAGGGAGGGAGGGAAGGTGGGACGTGGGGGAAGGAGGGAAGAAAGGGCCGAGGGAAGGAGGGGTGGGTAGGGGAGAAGCAACAATGGGAAAAGATAGTTAGGTGGGAGGAGGAGGAACAGGCGGAGGGAGGGGGGAGAGAGGGAAGAGGGCGAGGTGGACGGGGGTAGGGAAAGGAAAGTTGGGAACCTTGATCACCACCAACTTGCTTGCACCGGGGGGCGTTTCAAGTAGATACCTACAATTATGCAGGGTAAAAACGATCCATACCCGCAGTAAGTCCTCGGGAACATAGGTCCCAGTGGGGTTGTTGGGATTGGTTATCACCACCACCTTGGGAACCTTCCTGCCCTCCTTCCCTGAAAGCGCCTCCTCTAGCCAATCTGATTGTGCCAGGTGGCAGCATGGGAGTACAGAAGGAGAAAATAGGAATCGGTGGGTGGGTAAGAGCTTGTGATCTTGATATTTCTCAAAAGTGATCCCATAGTGGTGGTTGGTAAAGTCTAGTGAGGAAGTGGTGGGTGGTGGGTAGGTAAGATGTGAGAGTGTGGCAGAACGGAGTGTGGCAGAACGGACTGTGACTCAGGAACCATCTATACTCACCAGCGCTGGGATGCAGGGTGTCAGAGTCACAGGGCCCATACACAATGTCAGTCACACCGGTCATCTGAAACGCCATCTGGTGGTTAAAGTAGAAGGGCTTGAAGAGCACCACAGCGTCATCCGGGTCACAGAGCGTCAGCACCACGTTCACAAACGCCTGTAGGTTGGGGATTAAGGAGGGTTGGTTTGGATGAGGATGCAGGGTTATGGGAGGGCTGGAATGTCGGGGAAAGGATGAAGAAGGGCTTGAAGAGCACCACTGCATCGTCCGGGTCACAGAGCGTCAACACCACGTTCACAAACGCCTGCAAATGGGTTGAGGAGGTTATAGTTGCGGGAAATTAGACGGGGGAGAATGGTTGGACAGTAGGATGGTTGAAGAGAGGTTGAAGAAAGGCTTGAAGAGCACCACTGCATCGTCCGGGTCACAGAGCGTCAGCACCACGTTCACAAACGACTGTAGGTTGGTTGGGGAGGGTAGGGCCGTAGGGTTGGATTGGAATTAGGGTTGTGACAGGATATAGAGTTGGGGCCCTGTATTGAAGTGGACGGGCTTGAAGAGAACCACTGCGTCGTCGGGGTCACAGAGCGACATTTGAATCGAGTCGACTCAAAAGTCACGTCGGGGTCACAGAGCGACATTTGAATCGAGTCGACTCAAAAGCCACGTCGGGGTCACAGAGCGACATTTGAATCGAGTCGACTCAAAAGTCACGTCGGGGTCACAGAGCGACATTTGAATCGAGTCGACTCAAAAGTCACGTCGGGGTCACAGAGCGACATTTGAATCGAGTCGACTCAAAAGTCACGTCGGGGTCACAGAGCGACATTTGAATCGAGTCGACTCAAAAGCCACGTCGGGGTCACAGAGCGACATTTGAATCGAGTCGACTCAAAAGTCACGTCGGGGTCACAGAGCGACATTTGAATCGAGTCGACTCAAAAGCCACGTCGGGGTCACAGAGCGACATTTGAATCGAGTCGACTCAAAAGTCACGTCGGGGTCACAGAGCGACATTTGAATCGAGTCGACTCAAAAGTCACGTCGGGGTCACAGAGCGACATTTGAATCGAGTCGACTCAAAAGTCACGTCGGGGTCACAGAGCGACATTTGAATCGAGTCGACTCAAAAGCCACGTCGGGGTCACAGAGCGACATTTGAATCGAGTCGACTCAAAAGCCACGTCGGGGTCACAGAGCGACATTTGAATCGAGTCGACTCAAAAGCCACGTCGGGGTCACAGAGCGACATTTGAATCGAGTCGACTCAAAAGTCACGTCGGGGTCACAGAGCGACATTTGAATCGAGTCGACTCAAAAGTCACGTCGGGGTCACAGAGCGACATTTGAATTGAGTCGACTCAAAAGCCACGTCGGGGTCACAGAGCGACATTTGAATCGAGTCGACTCAAAAGTCACGTCGGGGTCACAGAGCGACATTTGAATCGAGTCGACTCAAAAGCCACGTCGGGGTCACAGAGCGACATTTGAATCGAGTCGACTCAAAAGCCACGTCGGGGTCACAGAGCGACATTTGAATCGAGTCGACTCAAAAGTCACGTCGGGGTCACAGAGCGACATTTGAATCGAGTCAACTCAAAAGTCACGTCGGGGTCACAGAGCGACATTTGAATCGAGTCGACTCAAAAGTCACGTCGGGGTCACAGAGCGACATTTGAATCGAGTTGACTCAAAAGTCACGTCGGGGTCACAGAGCGACATTTGAATCGAGTCGACTCAAAAGCCACGTCGGGGTCACAGAGCGACATTTGAATCGAGTCGACTCAAAAGCCACGTCGGGGTCACAGAGCGACATTTGAATCGAGTCGACTCAAAAGCCACGTCGGGGTCACAGAGCGACATTTGAATCGAGTCGACTCAAAAGTCACGTCGGGGTCTATAATGGTCACTGCTGCCCGCGCTGCTCACATCACATGCATGCCTACCTAGAGATTCGTGCCTTGGCTATCCTCCTCACCTGATTGGCCCCAGCAGTGACCATTATAGACGAGTCTATAATGGTCACTGCTGCCCGCGCTGCTCACATCACATGCATGCCTACCTAGAGATTCGTGCCTTGGCTATCCTCCTCACCTGATTGGCCCCAGCAGTGACCATTATAGACGAGTCTATAATGGTCACTGCTGCCCGCGCTGCTCACATCACATGCATGCCTACCTAGAGATTCGTGCCTTGGCTATCCTCCTCACCTGATTGGCCCCAGCAGTGACCATTATAGACGAGTCTATAATGGTCACTGCTGCCCGCGCTGCTCACATCACATGCATGCCTACCTAGAGATTCGTGCCTTGGCTATCCTCCTCACCTGATTGGCCCCAGCAGTGACCATTATAGACGAGTCTATAATGGTCACTGCTGCCCGCGCTGCTCACATCACATGCATGCCTACCTAGAGATTCGTGCCTTGGCTATCCTCCTCACCTGATTGGCCCCAGCAGTGACCATTATAGACGAGTCTATAATGGTCACTGCTGCCCGCGCTGCTCACATCACATGCATGCCTACCTAGAGATTCGTGCCTTGGCTATCCTCCTCACCTGATTGGCCCCAGCAGTGACCATTATAGACGAGTCTATAATGGTCACTGCTGCCCGCGCTGCTCACATCACATGCATGCCTACCTAGAGATTCGTGCCTTGGCTATCCTCCTCACCTGATTGGCCCCAGCAGTGACCATTATAGACGAGTCTATAATGGTCACTGCTGCCCGCGCTGCTCACATCACATGCATGCCTACCTAGAGATTCGTGCCTTGGCTATCCTCCTCACCTGATTGGCCCCAGCAGTGACCATTATAGACGAGTCTATAATGGTCACTGCTGCCCGCGCTGCTCACATCACATGCATGCCTACCTAGAGATTCGTGCCTTGGCTATCCTCCTCACCTGATTGGCCCCAGCAGTGACCATTATAGACGAGTCTATAATGGTCACTGCTGCCCGCGCTGCTCACATCACATGCATGCCTACCTAGAGATTCGTGCCTTGGCTATCCTCCTCACCTGATTGGCCCCAGCAGTGACCATTATAGACGAGTCTATAATGGTCACTGCTGCCCGCGCTGCTCACATCACATGCATGCCTACCTAGAGATTCGTGCCTTGGCTATCCTCCTCACCTGATTGGCCCCAGCAGTGACCATTATAGAGGAGTCCACGAGTCCATTCTCCGTGTTGACTTTCTCTACCAGCGCTGCCCAGAGCTCCTTGGTGCCATCGTCCACCCCGTACCCGCTGCTCACTGGGTCATGCACCGCTGCCTGCGCTGCTGCCAGCACAACTGCCTGTGCTACTGCCTGCGCTGCTGCCTGCGCTGTTCGCATGTATGCCTACAGCTTCGTGCCTTGGCTTTCCCTCACCTGGTTGGCCCCAGCAGTAACCATGATGGACGAGTCCATAAGTCCATTCTCCGTCTTGACTTTCTCTACCAGCGCTGCCCGGAGCTCCTTGGTGCCATCGTCCACTCCGTACCCGCTGCTCACTGGGTCATGCACCGCTGCCTGCGCTGCTGCCAGGACTGCATCGGGCGGTAACCAGTACACCACGCCCTGGCCCAGCGACATGACGTCAGGGTTGAGCGTCATGAGATCACGCATCTGAAGAGAGGGAGGGTTATGAGGGACAGATTGGGAAGAGCGGGACGTGGGGGAGATGAATAAAAGAGGGGAGATGCGCAACAGAGAATCGCTTAAGCACTGCTGACTGCGACGGGTGGTAACCAGTACACCACGCCCCGACCCAACGACATGACGTCAGGATTGAGTGTCATGAGGTCACGCATCTGGCGAGAGGGGAGGGACAGGGAAGATGCAGGGGACATTGTACAGAGAGATGGGACATTGACGTCAGGGTTGAGAGTCATTAGGTCCCGCATCTGGAGATTGTGAGGAGAGGGGGTGAGATAGGGGGAAGAGATGGGGGAGAGGGATGGGGGAGAGAAGAGATGAGAGAGAAGGATAGTGGAGAGAGAGAGGGAGAAGAAATTGGATAGTGACAGAGACGAAATCGAGATAAGAGACGAATAAAAGTTATGAGGTCCTATCAATCCACAATGACCTCGGATCGTCTAAGAATTCACTAAGATTACTAAAAGGCCCAAGGGAAGAAACAATAACGGACCTGAACAATAACGGGTTCGTCGGTATTCACGATCCGGCGGGATAGTTTCGCCAAGGGAGCTGCAGTTCCCGTTACAGCACCTGCAGCGACTGCTGAACCTGGCGTTCCATCCATGGCTGCTGCTGCTTTTGCTGTTACGCCAAACCGTCGCTTATCCGCGCGGCTTCGTAACGGCGAGCCGCGTTTCTTCTGGTCAAGATCACGATACGCGGTCTGATCAAGCGGAGAGTGCGGGTCAAATTGACGAGCCGAGGCTCGGAAAACGGCGGGGATTGAGTCTCGGACGGGTGTACGGTTCTGGGAAGACGAACCAATAAAAAACGCACTGGAAGGAGGAAAGCTGCGAGTAAGTGGGTGAGTGCTCCGACCGTTGGCTGGATTAGCGGTAGCGGATGGGATGACTGGGTTAGTGTGGCTGGGAGAGCCACGGACGGCCGTGGTGCTGACGTGGATCAGATAACTTTTCGGCAAGCTCGAGATTGGAGTGACAATGTTTTTCTCGAACGGGATGATGAAACGCGAGAGGCGAGCCGCGGAGTTCTCGAGGGGGATGGTGTTACGAACCCACATCAGGGGAGCCCCACGAGAAAAAAATAAGACAGTGCGGTGCGGGAACAAACGTTATGTACTTGGAGCAGTTCGTGCGGCTGTTAGTCACCTGCACTGCGCTGCTGCCGTGTCCTGGCCCAGTCCCAGATTGTTATGACCACATTGGGAATGTCGGCTAGTCTATACCAATGATGAAGCACGAAGCTAGTGATTCGTCGTGAATGCCAACCAATGCTGTGACGGCAATCCCTATGCGAGCAAAGCTCGTTTCTGTCCATTGCTGCTCTCCTCCCCTCAACTCTCCCCAGAGGGCCCACTCCATACCGAAATGCAACCACGACATACCGCACCTGACCCACATCAGATCCTGCAAATTGAATCCCATGAAATTGCAAATGTTCTTACACAGTAATTTCATGAAATCTATTAGCAAGCTAAGTGATGATCCCAGACCAATTCATACAGCTTCTTCTCACCCTCCAAATCTTCTATCAACTTGGAAGAATCTATGTCCATCCTCTCAACCTCACCCAGACCTAAATCCTTCATCTCACATGTAGCTCTCTCAAATACAGCTGTTTGTGTGGCGAATCCCAGGTGCTCTGCTTCTGGCAGCACGCCCACTCCACCGAATGTAACATGGTAACCATACTCCTGGGCCAGAGCATTCGCCCAGGATTCAAACTCCTCCCTGGTCCACTCAAAACGGTGATCAGAATTTCGCAACTCCTGCTGCTGCTGCTCCTGAGGCTGCTGTCCTGTCTGACCTGCCTGCTGTCCTGTCTGATCCGCCTGCTGGCCTGCCTGCTGTCCCTTCTTCTTTTTCCGCCTCTTCTTCCCTCCTCCTGCCTGCCCTGCTGCTTCTTGTGGCTGCTGCAGTGGAGGATCCTGCTGCTTGAAACCGTTAGCAAGCGCAGTGACAGCATCACCGGCAGCAGCAGCAGCAGGAGTAGCAGCATCATCAGCAGCAGCGACAGCAGCAGCTGTTGCAGAATCATTCGCAGTAGCAGCAGCAGCAGCATCAGTCACAGTAGCAGCAGCTGTCACAGGAGCATCAGCTACAGCAGCAACACCAGCAGAAGCACCAGCAACAGCCGCAGGAGCATCAGCAACAGCAGCGGTCGCATCAGCAGCAGCAGCAGCGGTGGCAGCACGAATGGCAGGATTGTACTCGATGTTGGGAGTGGAGACAAGCAGAACGCGGGGTCTGAGTGCCCCCAGCACCACGGCCCCAAAGGCTGCCAGTGGCTCCTCGTCTAAATGCTCCACCACCTGATGGGGCAGGGTAGAAATGGCAGAATTGTACTCGATGCACACAGCATGCACAGACGAGCACAGAGATGGAAACGCGCATGAGAGCAAGCACACGCGCACAAGCACATGGGCACAGGTGCTGCTGTAAGGATAGTAACAACTGGAAAATCCAAAATGGATAGATGTATGGAACGCCAAGCAAGTTGCATGTGACACACATGTTCAATCCATTGCATACCTCCAAGCAAGTTGCCACGTCAGCGTCCTTCATGCGATCGTCCACGTCAGCAAGGGAACCGGCATAGAGCGCCAACCGTGCTGAAGCTGCTCGTGCTGCAACGGTGCAGGTTGTTTCAGGTGCCGGCTCAACCTGTGTTGCTGCAGTGGCTGCGTCTGCTGCCGGCTGTGAGGCTGCTTGCAGGCTTGTTATGGTGCGAGTTAGGCTCTGATACCAGTCAAGGGGCGTAGGTAGAATAGAAAGCCATGGAAAAAAGGGGCTGGTGAGGAGCGCGAAAAAGGAAGAAGGGGGGGAGGTTGAGGGGGTTGAAGCATGAAGGAGGACACTACAGGTATGGGCACATACAGACAGGAGCAGCCAGTGAGATTTTGAGTCGACTCAAAAGCAGGTATGGGCACATACAGGACCAGTGATGTGAGTTGCAGTAGATTTAACCTCTGTGAAATCTTTCCAGCGCTTTCATTGCTTTCTTTCCTATCACCTCCCCACTGCCCTCACCCCCGTCCCCTGCCGCATCCACCCACCCTTCCAACCCGTTCCAGCTCCCTCTGATTGATGTCAAATCTCACCATGCTCGCCGCCAAACATTCTACTTGCATCTTCTCACAACATCTATCACCGTCCTCACAGCTTTGATGCTCATCAACTCCACACTTGCACCCACCCACTCACCCCCCCCCACGGCACTCACCCGACTAGCCCGTTCCAGCTCCTTCTGGCTGATGTCAAACCCCACCATGCTTGAACTTTCACCAACCCACAGCTTTCCTTCACCCCCTCTCCCCTTCTCTCACCCCCCATCCCCTGCCCCAACCACTCACCCGACCAGCCCGCTCCAGCTCCTTCTGACTGATGTCAAACCCCACCATGCTCGCCGGTAAACAAAATCGCTCAGCACTGCTTCCACTGCCATTGTCACAGCCAGCACTACCGGCCTTGCCACTGCCCTTGCTTGCTGCGGCTGAAGCAGACAGCAAGTAGTCGAAGAGAGAGGCAGACCCGCACCCAACGTCCAGCTGGGGGTGGGATGGGAAGTGGGGCAGGGAAAATGGGTGTTGTGAGTGGAAGTAAAAGGTTTGGCAGGGATGCAAAGGGTTGAGAATGGGTGCTGTGGGTGTGAGTGGAAGGGTCTTAATGGCACTGCTTCCTCTCTCTTTGAGGAGGCAGGAGGTGGTTGATGAGAGAGGCGGAGCCACGTCCAACATTCACCTGTAGGGAGAATGCTTTGAGGGAGAATGGGTGCTGAAAGTTTAGAGACATCTGGAAAGAAAATTATTTGAGGGAGGGTGTTGAGAGTGCAGCAGGTGAAAGGTTTGAAAGGGCACACTTCCTCTTGATTTCTGACGGAGGTGGCTGAAAGAGAGAAATATCAGGCGATTTGAGAAAATCCTTGAAAACTGCCAGAAGCACAGAGAAGGCGCAACACAGCACACCAATCCTTGGAATTTCCAGACTCACGAGGAAAGCCGGCGAGTGCTTTGAGATGAGTGCAGCGGCAAAGGCAAGGCGTTGCTTGGAGAGGGAGGGGGAGAAGATGGCTGCATCGATTCGATCCTCCTCCTCCGCTGCCGCCACTGAGAGCAGCGTGACTCGACAGTGGAGGGCTGTGAACTCTGGGAGTGGGAGGATAGGGGGAAGGGTGGGGGGGTTGGGGAGGTGGGGGTGCATGAGGGGAAAGAGAGAGATGGGGAGAAGATGGCTGCATCGATTTGATCCTCCTCCTCTGCTGCTGCCACTGATAGCAGAGTGATGCGCCAGTGGAGGGCTGAGGGCCCTGGGATTGGGAAGGAAGAGGGGAAAGGGAGGGAGACAATGGGGGTGAAGTGAGGACAGCTGCGTCATGCGATCCTCCTCCTCTGCTGCTGCCACTGAGAGGAGCGTGATGCGCCAGTGCAGGGCTGAAGGCCCTGGGATGGAGAGGAGCGGGGTGGGGGGGGGGGTGCACGAGGGGAAAGAAGACAGCTGCGTCATGCAATCCTCCTCCTCCGCTGCTGCCACTGAGAGGAGCGTGATGCGCCAGTGGAGGGCCGAGGGCCCTGGGATGAGAGGGTGCATAAGGCATAGGGCATGGGGCATTCGGGCATGGTGTATGGCCGCATGGGAAAACGGGAGGAGCATGCAGGCGAGAAGACATCGGCCCCAATGGGATCCCTGAAAACAGCGGGAGGTGATCTTGCATTGCATGCATGCACTGTGATAACGAGCCTGAACATAGGATTGGGACAGTCTCATAAGCACACACCACCCCCATCACCACCACCCCCATCACCACCACCCCAATTCTACCGTTGCCTCACCTGTCGCAGGCTGAATCGCCTCCAGAGCCGGGAAGGGCGGCAGATGCCCGCGGATCGGAACTCTGATGTCAGCAGTCTGACCTGGCAGCAAGCGGCCAATCACAGCCTCGATCCGCTCGTCCACACAGCCCCGCCCAAACTCAAACTCGAAGCACTCCTTGCTCTCCAAGCACACCTCCTCCTTGCCCTCCGAGCAGACTTCTTCTGAGCAACCGTGAGGCAATTTTGCGCCCTGTTGCAGAGATACCCTATAGGAGATGGATACGAGGCAGCCCAAGGCAGCAGGTGTGGAGGAGGAAGAGGGAGATGGGCGTGGAGAAGACCCTAGCGCTGCCACGGCATCAGTACTGCCTAGCATTGGCACTGCACTGGTGGGTGCTCGTGTTGGGGAGGAATCTTCAACCTCCTTCAAACGCTTCCTTGCCATTCTGCCATCCCCATCCTCCTCCTCTTCCCTCTTCTCCTCCTCCCTTTCCTTCTCCTCCCTCTCCTCTCCATACCCCCCATTTCCGTCTCCTGTACAAATCTCCATTCGTTCCCCGTCCTCCCCTTCCTCTCCTTCCTCCCTTTGCCCCTCTCCCCCCCATGCCCCCCAGGGATCAACCACTCTCCCCCACACTTCCGCATACTCCTTCTGAATCGCCCTCAAGGCCTCTAAGCACGCAGCATGCACTGCATCCATGCGTGCAGCATAGCGGCGGGGGGAGAGAGCAACCAAGGGAGGAGAGGAAGGGCCTCTGTTGATGGTCACCCGGCATTTGAACCCACCACTGTTGACAGCTGTGCCGTTGCCATTAGTGGTATTGCTGCTGCTGGTGCCACCACTCGCACCACCAGAGCCTTGGCCTGTGCCTATGCCTGTGCCTGTGGTTGTGGCTGTGGTTGTGGGTATGAGGGAGCCTGAAGGGGATGGGAACTCAAACACAGGGTCTCCAACTGCCAGCTGCATGGACTTGTGCTCGCAGCAGCACTGCCCACGTTGCCCCTCCTGCTCCTCCTGTGCCTTCTCCCGGTCCTCATCCTTCTGCTCCTGATCCTGCCGCCCATCCTTCCCTTGCTGCTGCTCCTGCTCCTGCTGCTGCTGATGCTCAGTCTTGAAGCCGCACATGCCCATGCACATGGGCGAGGGGTCAATGGCGCGCTGCATGGTGCAGAGCTCCAGAAGCATAGGCTTGGGGTGTTTGCCGCGCCAGAGGGGCGTGGAGGAGAAGGAGAGAGGTAAGGAGGCGAGGACAGGGGCTTCTAGGCTGAGCTGATACATGCCCCTGGGTTGCCGGGCGAGCAGGCGCCTGGAGGGGAAGGAGAGGGGGGGTGTTAAAAGGAAGAGAGGCACATGGGCGGTGTGTGTGTGAGAGAGTGAGGCAGAGAGGACAGGAGACAAAGGAGGGGCACTTCCGGGCTGAGCTGATACATGCCCCTGGGATGACAGGCGAGCAGACGCCTGAGAGGGGGGGATAGGGGGTTTGAGAGTGGCGGGAGGTGGGGAGGGGTGTAGAGGGATGGAGAGTGGTGAGGAGAGGTGGAACGAGCACAGATAGACAGTGAGTATGAGCAAGAGATGGGCCAGGGCGTCTGAACTTGGGGAGCCTGCCGCGCCAGAGGGCGGTGGAGGAGAAGGAGAGAGGCAGTGAGGCGAGGAGCGGAGCATGTAACAACACCCATACATACACCCACCTGTACACGTCCCATGCCACCACTCCCTCCTCCTCCATCTCCCCTCTCCGGTTGTCGCTCCACGATGCCTCCACCACCGCCACCACCGCAGGTCCCCGCACCTCACACCCCGCCAGCCAGCTCGCCGTGCTGTTCAATGCCAGCTGGCAGGGTGCCGTGCTAGTAGCATTTGGTGCTCGTGCTGAAGCTTCTCTTGCTGAATTTTCTTTTGCTGCGTCTTCTCCTGGGGCTGCTGATTCAAATTGTTGTGTTGGTGGCGGCAAGATGTTGTGAGGGAGCGAGAGGGAGGCTGGGAGGAAGGAGAAAAGACGCATGTGGGGATGATGCTTGTGCAGTAGCCTGTGGGGAGTGCGTGGGAGGGGTGGGAGGGGAAATATGGCAGGGGAAGAAGAAAAAAAATGGGCGAGTCAATATCATTATGAGGACAACTCGTGAGTAAAAGGACGAGAGGCAAGAAACGGATGAATTGATGGATGGATGGATGGATGGATGGATGGATGGATGGATGGATGGATGGATGGATGGATGGATGGATGGATGGATGGATGGATGGATGGATGGATGGATGGATGGATGGATGGATGGATGGATGGATGGATGGATGGAGATAGACAGATAGGTACGATATGAATGGATGGTCGCACTTACTTGGAGATGACAAGTGACCCAGAGTCCGCACCAACCGACTATGTTCAATTCGCATTGTCAATCGTTTTGAGAATTCTCAAAGGTGGACTTTGAATGGGATGGTCTCACTCACTTGGAGATGACAAGTGATCCGGCATCTGCACCAGCAACCACCTGTCTCTTATCCCTGCTCGTCTCCCTCCGCTCGCCCTCTCTGCGACTACCACCGTTGCTGCCATCCTTCTCCACCCTACCACTGCTGCTCTCATCCCCGGACCAGCTCGTTACAAGCACCTCTGCTATTCGATCCAGAATGTACTCATCCCTCCTTACAGTCACATTCACCATCCGTGGCACCTCGTGGTTGCATTGCTGCTGCTGCAGCTGCTGTTGGAGATGCTGGTGCTGCTGGTGGTTTTGTTTTTTCTGGCATGCATGCAATAACGGGGATGAGGGGCATGGAATGACCACCATGGACACACGCCTTTCCCCACCCTCCTCATGTTTCTTCGTCCCTACTCGTTCTGCTTCTTCCTTCCCTCCCGTTCCTCCTTCCATTCCAATTGCAGCAGCACCTACTGTCTTAGGACCCTCCTCCCCATCCTTGCGTTTCAGAGGTGCCCCTTTCACTGCCTCCTCTTTAACCTCCTCCTTCCCTGCAGAATCCTCAGCCAAGCCTTCCTTTCCGTTTTCACCTATCTTATCCACACTTCTTTCATCCCTCGCTCCCACCCCTCCCCCTCCCCCTCCCCCTCCCCCTCCCCCTCCCCCTCCCCCTCCCCCTCCCCCTCCCTCTCCGTCTGTGGCTTTCTTCACAGCAGGCATTGCTACCAGCAGCTCCTGAAGAACCTTCCCAGAAGCTGCCTCCCGCCGCCTCACCCAAAAACCCGACCAAGGGAATCCCTCGCGTGACTCTCCCTCACACGCTTCTCCCAGCCCCCTCGTTTCTCCCACCCCACTCCCATGCCCCTGTGAAGATAAGGCTGTAGCAGCAGCTGATAAAGGTGTTGCAGCAGTTGTAGCAGCAGCTGATAAAGGTGTTGCAGCAGTTGCAGCAGCAGCAGCGAGCTCCAGTGTCTGTGATTGGGTAACTGCTGCCAGCACGAGTGCTACAGCCGCTGCCGGGTTGCTGTCACATGCAGGGTCGATGGATGCACATGCAGCAGTGACCTGAGATAGAGAAGGTGCGGGAGGAAAGGGGGTAAGGGGGGGAGAGAGGGAGCCAGGGGAGTGAGGGAGGGAGTTTGGGTTGACTTAAAAAGCCGCTGCAGGGTTGCTGTCACACGCAGGGTTGCTGTCACACGCAGGGTCGCTGTCACACGCAGGGTCGCTGTCACACGCAGGGTCGATGGTCGAACAGGCAGCGATGACCCGAGGTAAATGGCCGGAGTTTGGTGTTGGAGTGCCGCCAACGTTTGGAAGGGAGGAGGATGGGTGCGGGATGGATGTTCGGGGGTGAAAAGTGTTTTTTTGAGACGTCACAAAAGTTGTAGAAAATGAATTTTTGAGACGTCATGTGTAGAAAGTGAATTGACAAGACGTCTAAAAAAAACACTTTCTACAGGTGAAGGGCCGGAGTTTGGTGTTGGAGTGCCGCCAACGTTTGGAAGGGAGGAGGATGGGTGAGGGATGGATGTTCGGGGAAACGGTGAAAGGCACGCACAACTGCGCACAATGATTGGCCCGGTCTGGTCTACACTAGGATTTGGGTTGCTGCAAAGATTAAAACTGGCCCTTGAATGACAATGGCTGCTGGAAAATACCATTCAAAAGGCCTTTAGTTGACTGGGGTGGATGAATGGGTGGAGTGGAGTGGAGTGGAGTGGAGTGCAGTGGAGTGGAGTGGAGTGGAGTGAAGTGGAGTGGAGTGGAGTGGAGTGGAGTGGAGTGGAGTGGAGTGCAGTGGAGTGCAGTGGAGTGGAGTGGAGTGGAGTGGAGTGGAGTGGAGTGGAGTGCAGTGCAGTGGAGTGGAGTGGAGTGGAGTGGAGTGGAGTGGAGTGGAGTGGAGTGCAGTGGAGTGGAGTGGAGATACCTTCTTGGCGAAGGCTGGAAGGACGGCAGCAGGGAGGGAGAGGAAGGGGTCCCCCCGGCGAGCAGCAGCTGTGAAGTGCGGCCGCAGAGGGACGATCCAGGGGGCTTTCTGGAGGTTAGGAAGAGGGGAGAGGGAAACATGTGCAGGGGTGTGGCAATCTGAGGATATCCGAAGTAAGAACTAGCACCAGCAGCAGCTGTGAAGTGCGGCCGCAGAGGGACGATCCAGGGGGTTTTTCGAAGGGAGGCAGGGCGATGGAAAGATGGAAAGGAGAGATAGGAGCATAGAATGGTGGGTGGTGGTGGTGCTGGCGCTGGTGGTGGTGCTGGCGCTGGCGGATTGAGTGGTAAGGGGAATACGAGAGATAGAATAGGGTGAGACGAACAGGGATAAAATGGTGTGAGAGCCGTCAGCTTTATGTTAAGGCGACAATGTGGATGACGTCAGCCAGGCTCCGCTCACCTCATCCGCGAAACAGTCCTCCAGCTGGCGAATGAGCTTTTGCCACGCGTCATCCGGATTCGACTGCCGGGTTTCTCCGTCTGCACGCTGACCCGTTACCGTCGCTGCGTCGCTCATCTCGCGCTTCGTCAGTATACGAGCCTATGGAGAATTATTGTAGCATCAAACTCGGATTCTAAGCGCCTGTTTCCCGCCTGCACACGCGGTGACACGCGACGGCCTTCCTAGGCACGCAGTTACTACCTCCCTACGCGGTTTGAGTCGACTTAAAACACGCGGTGATACGCGACTATCATCCTAGGCACGCAATTACTACCTTTCTACGCGGTTCTTCGGATGCAATTCTCTGCGCGTTCTCGCGCTTTTCTCCCCTTTCTTTTCCAAATCTCAAGAGCACCCACCGTTCTACACAGTTGTAAAACCCATGTGCGCCGTGCCAATTACGCGGTAGAAATTGAGGAGACGTGGCTTCAATTGCCTTCAAGGATGTCCTTGCAACGGAGTCGAAAGCCGCTAGCCAGAACTGGTGGAGTGTGTGATTGCTATGGGAGCATTTGATCACCTCCTTCAACATCGAGATTGACGAGAAGTCAACATTTGATACCCGATATGCCTACATTCGACAGAGAGTTTTGCGAGATTGAAGAGAATTTTGATGGTGGGACATTGAGAGTGTGTAACCTACAAGCAAGCAACTTGTAGGGCTTATAGCAAATCTAGAAGCTGTTTTCACATCATGCAGACATGCAAATCTAGCTCTACGAATTTTTCTCACTGTCAAAATTGGTCCTGTGAAGAAAAAGAACCTAGCCAATGCTGTTTACAAACAGGACATCATGGTTGAATGAAAAAATGGCTTCGATGGATCGGCTGCTATTGGTTGGAAGGCATGTTACCAAATGATGCTAGGCCAATGGACGGTGCAGATTGATCGATAGATGACGATGTGGGATTTGATGTGCTTCTTATAATCCCTGAAATGAAGAGAGGAGAGGAGTACCCGATGACAGAAGGATTGGGGCCCGGAGGGGCAGAAACTGAAGTGATGGTGAGATGGGTGTGGGACGAAGAAAGGTTGAATGGGTTGTAACATAAGGGGTAGTAACATGAGGGGTGGTAACATGAGGGGTGGTAACATGAGGGGTGGTAACACGAGGGGTGGTAACACGAGGGGTAGCAACATGAGGGGTGGTAACACGAGGGGTGGTAACATGAGGGGTGGTAACATGAGGGGTAGTAACATGAGGGGTGGTAACACAAGGGGTGGTAACACGAGGGGTGGTAACATGAGGGGTGGTAACACAAGGGGTGGTAACACGAGGGGTGGTAACACGAGGGGTAGTAACACGAGGGGTGGTAACACGAGGGGTGGTAACATGAGGGGTGGTAACAGGGGTGGTTAAGCTGTTAGATTCATAATGATTCGAATTTGCACCTTTTGCATATGGCAGGAGTATAATAGGAATAAATTACTACCCACACATATTGAACATTTGGGAAAATCAGGGGGTGTACTTACCCGAGACATTCGAGATGGTCGTAGGATTCTTCTGGGCAGAAAATGCTTTTAGCTGCCCCCCTGCGACTCCTGTGAGCAAAGTTCTGAAAGCTGCCCGTTGCTCCTTTGCACTACCCGTACTCTTGAGGGAAGCTTCGAACGAAGCGAGGGCCTCTGGTGAAATGGAGAGTGAAAGGAGCACCTGGGAGGACAAGCGGAAGGGAACCGGGAAAAGGGGAAGGGGAGGGGGGAAGAGGAAGGAGAGCGAAAAGGCATGTGTATGTATAGGACATGAGGAGATTCGGGTGAGCCGGAGTGGAAGGGAAAAAGGAGTGAGAAAGGGAGTGTGAAGTTCCCGGGAGAAGAGAGAGGAGGATTGTGCTATAGGTTGCACGAGAGCAGAAGGGTGCTAAGTGTTGCATACCTCTCTAGGAGCAGAGGTTAAAGGGCCCAAACGAAGGTAAATATCCCTCAATAATGCCACAATATGCGCCTGAATCCCCGCATTAGACTCCAGCGTCAGCGCCTGCACCGCCGCTGCAAGCATGGTCCGGCCGACCATCTCCCGAAGCTGCGCGGGAGGCTCGGAAGCCGGTGCAGCAGGTTCGGCGAGCAGCTCCGGCATGTGCACGAGGCCTGAGTTGAAGAGGACAGCCTTGTGAGAGGCGTCGCTGTCGGGCCAGTCCATTGCTGCCATTGCCACTCGGATGCACGCTGCTGCTGCCTCTGGGTGGTGCTGTAAGAGGAAGCTGTGTGGGGAAGGGGGGTTCAGACAGGTAGAGGGGGGTTAGCGGGTTTACTGATCCGTCGCTGTCGGGCCAATCCATTGCTGCCATTGCCACACGAATACACGCTGCTGCTGCCTCAGGGTGATGCTGCAAGAGGAAACCGAGGGGAGGGAGAGAGGAAAACAGAAGAGCGCACGGAAGAGGGCGGAGGGAGACAGGTTAAAAAACAGAAGAGAAACAGGATCGGACAGGGAAATGAGGGAAGTTAGAAGGATTCAGAAGGAAGGCTGAGCTGCGCAGCAATGGCAGTGATGGAAGTGCAGTGGTGGACTTGAAGAGGTGCGAATCCGTAAGCTGCAGGAAGCTTGAGACACGTCTTGAAACTCACTGCAGCAAGCTTGAGACACGTCTTGAAACTCACTGCAGCAAGCTTGAGACACGTCTTGAAACTCACTGCAGCAAGCTTGAGACACGTCTTGAAACTCACTGCAGCAAGCTTGAGACACGTCTTGAAACTCACTGCAGCAAGCTTGAGACACGTCTTGAAACTCACTGCAGCAAGCTTGAGACACGTCTTGAAACTCACTGCAGCAAGCTTGAGACACGTCTTGAAACTCACTGCAGCAAGCTTGAGACACGTCTTGAAACTCACTGCAGCAAGCTTGAGACACGTCTTGAAACTCACTGCAGCAAGCTTGAGACACGTCTTGAAACTCACTGCAGCAAGCTTGAGACACATCTTGAAACTCACTGCAGCAAGCTTGAGACACGTCTTGAAACTCACTGCAGCAAGCTTGAGACATGTCTTGAAACTCACTGCAGCAAGCTTGAGACACGTCTTGAAACTCACTGCAGCAAGCTTGAGACACGTCTTGAAACTCACTGCAGCAAGCTTGAGACACGTCTTGAAACTCACTGCAGCAAGCTTGAGACACGTCTTGAAACTCACTGCAGCAAGCTGTTAGCCGCGGTTGCCACCGAATGCATGTCCATCCGATCGTCACCACCAGCACCAGCAGCACCAGCAACAGCACCACCTGCAACACCACCACCACCACTTACCTTACCACAAACCATACTCACTGCAGCAAGCTGTTTGCCGCGGTTGCCACTGAATGCATGTCCATCCTCTCATCACCACCAGCACCAGCACCACCAGCAGCACCCGCAATGCCACCACCACCAGTGACACCAGCCATGAGCGCAGAAGCCGTGGCTTGAATCGAGGCAGCTTGTAACGAGGATGACTGAGGCAAGACAGGGAAGAGAGCCAACAGGCCGCAGGTCTCTCTTGTAAGGTCCCTTAGAATTTTCTCGTTAAACAGCTCATCCTTTAACCCTCCTCTCCTCTCCTTCTCACTCTCACCACCACCAGAAACAGCAGCAAGCGCTTTACCCCCTGCTGCTTCCCCTCCCCCTCCTCCCCCACACAGCCCTTCTTGCAGGAATCTCTGCCACGTGGCAGTCAGCCATTGGTCGCAGTGAAGAACGATCGGTGGCAGGAGCGTGCCGAGCCAGAGAGGATAGAGGCTCGGCGGACAGGATTTGACCAATGGGAGCAGGACGAGCTTCTGCAGCAGTCGCAGGTGCCGAGCCTCCATGCTAGCCACGGAATCGGCCAGTGCGGCCCGAACCTCCAGCACGAACTGCTGCTGCTGGGGTGAGACCGAACCTAAGGATTGCAGGTTCGTGACGGGAGGCTCGGGAAGGGAGAAGAAGGCTGCTGGGGCGTTTGCTGCTGCCATACCAAGGAAGCCATAACTGTTTGGGAGGAGGGCGGAGGAGGAGGAAGACCGGGAAAAACAGAACTAGAGTTGATTCTCTAATTAACTGAAAAGCAGAGAGCAGAGAGTCCACATTCACCTACCAGCACCACAAAATGTAGCAGCCCTAAAGCTACAGATACTGTAACAGGTTCGGAATCGAAGGGGGAAAACAATCCGCCCACCCACCTGTTGTCCCGCACACACTTGAGCCAATTCCGCCTCATTGCCAAAGCCATAGCCTCCCCTTGCACACCAGCACCACAACCAAGTCGCCCTGAAGCTACAGATATGGTAACATGTTTGGCATTCAGGGGGGGAAACAATCCACCCACCTGTTGTCCCGCACACACTTGAGCCAATTCCGCCTCATTGCCAAAGCCATAGCCTCCCCTTGCACACCAGCACCACAACCAAGTCGCCCTGAAGCTACAGATATGGTAACATGTTTGGCATTCAGGGGGGGATACAATCCACCCACCTGTTGTCCCGCACACACTTGAGCCAATTCCGCCTCATCGCCAAAGCCATAGCCTCCCGCTGCCTCTCCCCTGCTCCTCCCCCAACCCCTCCGCCTCCCCCTCCGCCTCCCCACGCCCCCCCTCCTCCCCCGGTCCCCCCCAGCAGCAGCGGCACGCCCTCCTGCTTGCCTGACACACCTGCCTGCCCCAGCACTGCTGCCTTCTCCTGCTGCCCCACCAGCAGCGCTGGGGCGAGGGTGGGGGGAAGGGAGGCGAGCACCTGAGGGGACCAGAGGGCGTGGAGGCAGTGCAGCAGCTGGGATGGAAAGGGGGGCGGAGGAAGCGGGGAAGGAGAGATATAACAGTGAGAAACTTGGGGTGGTAGGTGGTTTAACCCCCAAAGAATCAACAGCACGCCCTCCTGCTTGCCTGACACGCCTGCCTGCCCCAGCATGGACACCTTCTCCTGCTGCCCCACCAGCAGCGCTGGGGCGAGGGTGGGGGGAAGGGAGGCGAGCACCTGAGGGGACCAGAGGGCGTGCAGGCAGTGCAGCAACTGGGGAGGGGGGAGGGGAGGAAAGGGAGATACGGCGGTGAGAAGCGGTGAGCAGTGGTGAGAAGCGGTGAGCAGTGGTGAGAAGCGGTGAGCAGTGGTGAGAAGTGGTAATATGAATGTAGAGGTGAGAAAACAGAGGTGATGCTTGGGGAGGGAGGAGGGGGTTTAAGGTTTAGGGCGTGCAGGCAGTGCAGCAGCCGGGAGAGAAGGGGAGGGGAGACATAGTACCCTCCCCCCGATTATCTTTTCCCATTCTCCTCCTGATCAGTCACTTAGTCATCTCGCTCTGAGCAGGGGAGGTACGAGCCAGTGTAGATGCAGACACACACAGTGCCTCACCCCCTTCCCTCCCCCCGTCTTCCTCCTGCCCCACCTCAGAAGCACCCCATTTTCATAAATCAGCTCAATTTGAACATCGTCTTACTCTGAGAAGAGGCGGCATGATTCAATGCAGGTGCGGACTCACACAGTGCCTCACCCGCGTCCCACACCCCTCACCTTCCACCCTTCCCACCTCAGAAGCACCCAATTCACATGAGTCTATTCAACTTCATCTTACTCTGAGCAGGGGAGGCACAATCCAATGCAGGTGCGGACTCACACAGTGCACCGCCCCTCCCCCTCCCCCTCCACTCCCGCTTCTTTCCCCCACAACCCCATCCGCCACCCCCACAACCCCAGGGGAAGGCGGGGGCGTCGCCGCCACTCCTCCCCCTCCCCCTGCTCCCCCTCCCGCTCCTCCCCCTCCCACTCCGCTCCCCCCGCCAACAGCAGCGCGGCGCATGATTCGCTCGAGCAGCATCGTGGTGTGGTAGACGGCCCAGAAATCCGCTTCCTCCTGGGAGCCGGAGCTGGGAGAGTGCAGGAGGAGTGCTGCTAGGGCTGCCGGGGAGGAGAGGTAGCGCGCCTGCCACGTGGCGTCTGCCCATTGGGTGCGGATGGGGGCTAGAAGCCATTCCACCACTGCGGCTTCTTCACTGGGGCTGTGCTGGTGAGGAGTGGGGAAGTGGGAGCCGGGAGGGGGTGGAGTGGGCAAGGAGTGAGGGCAAATCGAGATTGAAGAAGTGTTTTGAGACGTCTCAAAACACTTCTTCAATCACGGGAGGGGGTGGGGTGGGCAAGGAGTGAGGGCAAATCGCGGGTGCTGTGGGTCTACATGGGCGTGGATGGGGGCGAGCAGCCACTCCACCACCGCTGCTTCTTCACTTGGGCTGCCTGCACTGATGGGGAGGGGGGGAGGGAGGGTGGTGGAGGAGAGGAGAGGGGAGGAGAGAGAGTAACTCCTACGTTCAGTCAATCACTCCCTCGCTCTCTCCTCGCCCCATCACCCCCTCACTCACCCTGCAGCAGCAGCCACGAGCAGCAGCGCTTCAGCGAGCAGAATGATCTCCCCATGCAGCACTGCGCCTGACTGGGTCTGCTGCACTCGCTGCACTGCCGCCTGCTGCTGCTGCCGAATGCCCATCACCTGATCCACCATCGCCTGGAGGAGAAAGGATGGGGTCGAGGAAGGAGAAAGGTGAGGCTACACGTTCTTAGACGTCTGAGTCTGCTGCACTCGCTGCACTGCCGCCTGCTGCTGCTGCCGAATGCCCATCACCTGATCCACCATCGCCTGGAGAGGTTGAAGAGGAGAAGAGGGAGTGGGGGTGTGGAAAAGGGAGAGAGGAAGATTAGGAGGTATGAGACGTCTCAAAGATTGACAGGCACTTCTGCACTGCTGCCTGCTGCTGCTGCTGGGTGTTCATCACCTGATTTACCATCGCCTGGAGAGGAGAAAAGAGTGGGCAGGGGTGCGGAAGGGTGGGCAGGGGTGTGGAAGGGTGGGCAGGGGTGTGGAAGGGAGAGAGGGAGGTAGGAGTTGCGAGACGTCTCAAAACTTGTCTACCTCTGCTGGACACGTTGCACTGCCGCCTGCTGTTGCTGCTAAGTGCTCATCACGCTCAGTAGCCCTCGGTTGGGAAAACAGCACAATACCACCCACTCCATCGCAGTGCATCACGCAACGTACCTTGAGCATGGGCACGAGAGACACGTCAGCAGAGCGCGCCACTCGGAGAATGGGCGTGCACACTTGCAGGCAAGGCAGGCAAGTGGTCCTCCCTGCCTGCCTTGAAGGAACTACGCAGACACCAAGTGTGACACGGATGGCCTACCTTGAGCATGGGCACAAGAGACACGTCAGCAGAGCATGCCACTCGGAGAATGGGCGTGCACACTTGCAGGCAAGGCAGGCAAGTGGTCCTCCCTGCCTGCCTTGAAGGAACCACGCAGACACCAAGTGTGACACGGATGGCCTACCTTGAGCATGGGCACGAGAGACACGTCAGCAGAGCAAGCCACTCTGAGCATGGAGGCGCAGCACACTTGCAGTTGCAGGCGGAGGAAGCACAAGACCACCCACAATCTCACAATGTGCAACTGTATGGCGCACCACGCACCTTGAGCATCGGTACAAGCGCCACGTCAGCAGAGCGTGCCACTCTCAGGATGGACGTGCACACTTGCAGGCGAGGCAGACGGTCCTCACTGCGCTCTGGGCGCAGCATGGGCTCCACTCCCTGGCAGGGTTGGGAAAGGGGTGGGACACGAGGAGGTAGAGGGGGAGGGGCACGCAGAGAGAGATAGGGAGGGAGAGGTGGCTCTTCTTGCAGGCGGGGCAGGCGGTCCTCACTGCGCTCTGGGCGGAGCATGGGCTCCACTCCCTGGCGGGCCGAGGGGGGAGAGGGGTGAGGGAGAGAGAGGATGGAGAGAATGAAGGGGAGGGAGAGATGACTGTTGAGTCTTGACTCTTGAATCGACTCAGAAGCGTCCTCTCTGCGCTCCGGGCAGTGCACGGCTGCATGGGCTCCATGGAGGGGTGAGGGAAAGAGATTAGGGGAGGGGAGAAGAGAGGAGAATAAGATGTTTCAAAGATGTATCGGAAATGAAAACGTTCAGGCGTGATGTGAGGTGCCTTGTTCACACCACAACACCGTTGTTCTTTCTTTGGAGAACAACATGTAAGGAGGGACGTCCTGACGGATGCAGAAAACAAAGGCAAAATCAAACCAAACAAAAAACCACAACGCGAGTGGGCGGCCGGGAACCCAGGAGCTTGAAGAGCTTGGGAATGAAGAAGGGAGCAGCAACTTCGAGGACAACAGACGACAGAAGCCAACCTCCCAGAAAAGCAGGAGTCAGGGAACCCACCAGGGGAGTGGGTGGCAGGGAGCTGAGGAGTTCAAAGAGCTTGGGAATGACGAGGGTGGCAGCAGGCGGGGAGTGCTTGAGGAAGGGACCCAGCGCGTCCAGCAGGTGGGCGTGCAGCTCTATCAACACGGGGTCGTGCCACTGCACACACAGCAGCCGCTGCAACACACCTGTAGGAGAGGAATAGCAGTGAGGATTGAAAGCAAAGCGAGGGTGAAGGGTGTTTTGTAAGGCCTAAGTCGTCCAGCAGGTGCGCGTGCAGCTCTATCAGCACGGGGGGGTCGTCCCATCGCACACACAGCAGGCGCTGCAACACGCCTGGGAAGGGAGCAAGAGAAGTGAAAGGTGTTGGGGGCATGAAGCTCTATCCGCACGGGTGCATGTCATTGCATTGCACAAATGCCATGACAACCCGTCCCATATGGCAGCAGCAGCTGCTGCCACAAGCACTAACTGACTGACCCCTCACACCTCACATACTCGTTACAAGCCGCCCCACTCACTTTGTACAATGAGCCCAAGGTCGCCAGTGAGAATGGCAGGGTTGGTGGAGTGAGCAGCAGCTGCTGTCACAAGCACGAGCTGAACCATCACTCGCATCCCACGTACTCGTTACAAGCTGCCCCACTCACCCTCTACGATCAACCCCAGGTCGTCAGCAAGAATGGCGGGGTTGGTGGAGTGAGCAGCGGCTGCTGCCATTACAGCATCGGGCACGGCAGTCATCACTGCATCTTCCAGCATTCTCGCTCCCTCCAACACTGCAACCACCTGAGGTAGGGGGGAATGGTTGGTCTGATGTAGGTAAATAACATGCATGCATGCACATATGTACACTCAGCTGCTGCCATGACAGCATCGGGCACGGCAGTCATCACTGCATCTTCCAGCATGCGCGCTCCCTCCAACACTGCAACAACCTGATGGGAGGTGCATAAGGTGCTTGATTCCAATATATGTATGCATGCCCAGCTGCTGCCATGACAGCATCCAGCACCGCACAGTCATGATCCCATCTTCCAGCATACCACATGCCCCATGCCCCATGACTGTGATATATCTTCAAGTTGATACATCTGACCCATGCTCCATGACTGTGAGATATCTTCAAGTTGATACATCTGACCCATGCTCCATGCTCCATGCCCTATGCCCCATGCTCCATACCCCATACCCATGCCCCATGCCCCATACCCCATGCCCCATACCCCATGCTCCATGCCCGATGTTCCATGCCCCATGCTCCATGCCCCATGCTCCATGCCCAATGCCCCATGCCCCGGGGCTTGCCTTGGGGGGTGGGGGAGCAGAGGTGGCAGCAGCAACAGCGGCTTCGATGCGAGAGGCCACCTTGGATGCTGCTATGAGCGGCTGCTGCTGTGTCACCAAACGAATCACCTCCATCTGATGGGAGGGTGTGGAGGGAGGGAAGAAGGGGGAGGAGGGGCTGCTATGGGTGATGCCATTCCCCTCCCCACCACCAATCCGAAGAGACAGGCCACCTTGGATGCTGCTATGAGCAGCTGCTGCTGTGTCACCAAACGAATCACGTCCATCTGAAGGGGGAGAGAGGAGAGAGAGGAGAAAGGAGTGAGGGAGGGCACAAGGGAGGGGTAAGGGGAGGGAGGGACTGCTGTGGCTCGTGACTCATGCCATGCCCCACCCGTCATCCCCAGAGGCCACTTTGGATGCTGCTATGAGCGGCTGCTGCTGTGTCACCAGCCGCACCACGTCCATCTGCGGAGGGAGGGGAGGGAGGGAGGGGAGAAAGGAGTGAGGGAGAGCGTAAGGAGCGGCTGCTGCTACCTCAACGAGGGTGGTCCACCACCACGGCCACGACCAACCGCCTCAGCTCAGGCAGAAACGACCAAGTGTGCAGCGCAAGCCAATAAACCGAGTGTACTCACCAGTCGGCTTCTGTACTGGGCGTAGTCCCCACTGTTGGTAAACTCCTCCTGCCACCCCTCCCCATCCTCCTCCCCTTCCTCCCCTTCGCCTGGGCGTCTGGGCAGATGGTCAGCCACCACGTCCAGAAGCCTCAGGCAGAAATCGGGCGGCACGAGAATCACTGCTGCGCGCTTGTCCTTGGCTCCACTTATGCTCTGCGCCGACTCCCTCAGTAACACCTGGAGAGGGAAGAGGGGAATGCAAGCAAGGAGGGGGACGGATGGAGTGCTGCCAATGCAGAAACCCCGTGTTTGTCATTTCCGCCGCTCGTGCTCCCTGCTGATCTAGTTTTAAGGAGACTAGTTTTGAGGCGCCTCAGGAAGCTGGGAGGGTTGAAAAGGGGGAGGGGAGCCATGAGCACTGGATTCACGTTCAGGCTTCAAGAGTACGTGCAGTGCAGGAGTGAGTGAGCCAGGATGAAATTCGTCGCGTGCCCAAGTGTTTGCTAAGTGCACAAAGTGCTCGAAGTGTTTGCTTAGCACGCGAAGCATTTGCAAAGTGCGCTAAGTGTGGGGGCCTTACCAGCCAGAGTTGCAGCGCCAGGGCATGCAAGGAGAAGCATTTGCACTCAAAGAAACGAAGCATCTGCAGTTACGAGACGGGGGGAGGGCAGCAGGAGGAGAGGAGACGGTGAGAGAAGAGATAGGCACAGAGACGCAGTGAGCAGGTGGCAAGGATGGAGACCATCAGTGAATAAAACTGCTTCTGGAAATGGGGAGCAAACAGATGCCAAACCTTGAGTTGAGAAACTTCACAATTCCTACATTCACACGTTTTGTTTTTTTTGTTTTTTTTTTTTTTCCCCCACAAACTGCTTTCGTGTCGTCTAGACTCTAAATGTCAAACATAGTACTACTACTCACCGTGTGCAGGAATGTATCGTGTGAAAAGAACACAACCAAGCCAGCAAGCAAACAAACAAACCCACCGTGTGGAAGAACTTGGCGTATCTGGAGTCATCCTGCTGAGCAGCTCTCTTCAGATTCGACGGTGCAAACGCCACCATCGCCTCACAAAGCCGCTCTGCAAACGCCACCTCCCCCTCATCCACCTCCCCCGCCCCCCCTCCTCCCCTCGCTCCCCCCCCTGCTGCCATCCCCCCTGCCTGCCCTCCTGCTTCCCTTGGAGAGGAAGCAGGGGCGGAGCCTGTTGTGGTAGTGATGCGATCGAGAGAGGCGTCGGCTGCAGAGACGAGGGAATCAGCTACTGATGTCATGGCGGCGTTGAATGCCTCCTGGTCGTCTGAAGGGGCTCGCCTGGAGGGGGTCAACAGTGGGGGAAAAGGGGCGGGGGAGAGTGTCACAGAAAATATTCCTAGGTGCAATACATTCAGATACTCTCTAGAGTAGGTGTAGTTGGGTTATTAGAAGTACTGTAGAAGTTGGGTTTGGTGCATGGGTAGTTACGTGAAGTTGGTAACCCAGGGACTAGCGAGGTGCAAGGAGGGACAAATTCGAGGGACAGCAAGCCCTGGGCAATTCGAATGGCCAATCCTGAGGTTTAGCGGGAAGAGCCCAATGTCACTTACGAGAAATAGACCAGGAACTCACTGCTTAGTTCGTTCTCTCGTTTGTTTGCCTATTATAGTGGAATTACTTCACTGATCTAAGGCTACAGCAGCAGCTAGGTGATAGGCCACTGAGGGCAGCCATCTTGTGGGTACGGGAAACTCTCATGGTAGTGGCTGAGGCAGAGAAGGGAAGGTATCACAGGAACAGGGCAGAGAGAAGAAGGGAGGGAGGATGAGTGCTGGGAGGATAGGGCAGGCCATGGAAGGCAACAGAGGACGGGTTTCCGACATCCATCATCCACCCACCTGGCCGCTAGGTGCTTGAAAAAGTCTGCTGCTCCCATTCGGAAATCAGGCGAGCCAAGGAGGAAACCACAGCTGGAGGGGGAGGGAGATGTGGGTTATGGGAAGGGAAAAAGGGGAACACTTGAGCGCCTAAAACCCTAAAACCTCATGCATTCAGCAAGCCAGCAGAGGCAGGCGCAGGCACAGGCGCCCACACTACACACACAGCTTCAGCGCTGCCAAACCACAGACAAACACCCACCTATCTATGCATAAACCCTAAGACCTTGCAACCCCTGAAACACAAGCTCACACATTCAATACGCCAGCGGAGGTGAGAGAAGGCACAGGGACCCTCTCTGCATACGCCCCCAGTGCTGCCAGGCCCACTGTCATAAGAACACCCACCCTACATACCTGAAAACCTTAAACCCTGAAACTCACGCATTTAGTAATCCAGCGGATGCAATCGCAGGCACAGGTGCCCACTCGGCATACGCCCCCAGCGCTGCCAGGCCCGCTGTCACGGCTGCTGCATGCTGCCTCGCTGCGTCCACGTTGCTCTGCTGCATGTCTGCCAGCGCTGCTGCGAAGTTGGAGTCCAGAAGCTGCAGAGGAACGCGACGAGGGGTGGGGAAAAAGCCAGGGTTGCAGGGAAGCACTGGGTATGAAGAGGTGCTTGAACTTCCAAGCCTGCAGTCACGGCTGCTGCTGTGCAGCTTCACCTGGATCTGCTGCATGTCTGCAAGCGCTGCTGTGAAGTTGGAGTGCAGAAGCTGCAGTGAATGGCAAGGGTTGCTAGATCAGAAGGACTAGCCTCAGGATGAATGGAAACGCAATCTATTGGGAAAGGTGGGCAAAGCAAAGCACGGACCGAGTAGAGGAAGGGGAGGATTTGCGGCAGAGTCGCTGTAAGGCCGAGAAGCAGCTGACGCCTCCTGTTGCCTGGTGAAAGGGGGCGGGTGTGGTGACGGTGGGAGAACAGAACAGAGGAAGTGGATGAAAAGAGGCGACAGAGGATGGGGGTGATCAGAGGGTCAAAGTTTTGACATATCCTTCTTCTCATGTTTTCCAAGGCAGAAAGGATAGGAAAGAGTTGATAACAGGGGGGAACATGCGCTTCCTTGCACTGAACGAAGAAGGGAAGGAAGGTACGGCTGCACACTTGTCTACGGCTGCACACTTGTCTTCTATATCCTTGCTATTTTTTCTCACTACTTCCCTTGTGTTCTCTTAGCAGGCTTGCTGCGTTTCGAATCCAACAAACTTCAACTGGGAAGGTACGGCTGCACACTTGTCTTCTATATCCTTGCTATTGACAATGTTACTATCCTCGTTGTAGACGAGTTTTGAGACAGTCTCAAAACCTGCACACTTGTCGTCTTCTATATCCTTGCTATTGTCAATGTTACTATCCCCGTTGTAGACAGTCACTTGCTCGTATGCTCTATCACCTTCTATATCCTCGTTATGGACTGTCACGTCTTCTGGTACAAACTGCAGCACAAGAGCCACCGTCTCTGCCTGCCCAGCCAGCCCAGGGGGGGAAGTCAAGAGAACAGTGGTAGGGGTAGGGGTTATTAGTGAAAATCAATGTGAGGGCACACGAAGTGTGCATGTGGTGGGGGGAGGGAGGGTTGTGGGGTGTGGAATGGGGGGTGTGGGGTGTGGGATGGGTGGTGTGGGGTGTGGGATGGGTGGTGTGGGGTGTGGGATGGCGGGTGTGGGGTGTGGGATGGGTGGTGTGGGGTGTGGGAAGGGTGGGGACGAAGAGTGAGGTAGTATTACTGAACAGGTGTCAGAAAAAGAAGTGGCAGCAGCAAAAGAGCAGAGTAAAAAAAATAAATCAACTCACTTATATAACCCAGCCCCACCTTCCCCCACCCCCTCCCCCCCCATTCCTTCCTCCCCCCTCTCGCCTGACTGACATGGATGGGGCTGGCTGCAGAGAGAGCAAGCAGAGACGGCAGCATCTCTTTTGAGTCGACTCAAAAGTCCCTTCCCCCACCCCCTCCCCCCCCATTCCTTCCTCCCCCCTCTCGCCTGACTGACATGGATGGGGCTGGCTGCAGAGAGAGCAAGCAGAGACGGCAGCATCTCTTTTGAGTCGACTCAAAAGTCCCTTCCCCCACCCCCTCCCCCCCCATTCCTTCCTCCCCCCTCTCGCCTGACTGACATGGATGGGGCTGGCTGCAGAGAGAGCAAGCAGAGACGGCAGCATCTCTTTTGAGTCGACTCAAAAGTCCCTTCCCCCACCCCCTCCCCCCCCATTCCTTCCTCCCCCCTCTCGCCTGACTGACATGGATGGGGCTGGCTGCAGAGAGAGCAAGCAGAGACGGCAGCATCTCTTTTGAGTCGACTCAAAAGTCCCTTCCCCCACCCCCTCCCCCCCCATTCCTTCCTCCCCCCTCTCGCCTGACTGACATGGATGGGGCTGGCTGCAGAGAGAGCAAGCAGAGACGGCAGCATCTCTTTTGAGTCGACTCAAAAGTCCCTTCCCCCACCCCCTCCCCCCCATTCCTTCCTCCCCCCTCTCGCCTGACTGACATGGATGGGGCTGGCTGCAGAGAGAGCAAGCAGAGACGGCAGCATCTCTTTTGAGTCGACTCAAAAGTCCCTTCCCCCACCCCCTCCCCCCCCATTCCTTCCTCCCCCCTCTCGCCTGACTGACATGGATGGGGCTGGCTGCAGAGAGAGCAAGCAGAGACGGCAGCATCTCTTTTGAGTCGACTCAAAAGTCCCTTCCCCCACCCCCTCCCCCCCATTCCTTCCTCCCCCCTCTCGCCTGACTGACATGGATGGGGCTGGCTGCAGAGAGAGCAAGCAGAGACGGCAGCATCTCTTTTGAGTCGACTCAAAAGTCCCTTCCCCCACCCCCTCCCCCCCCATTCCTTCCTCCCCCCTCTCGCCTGACTGACATGGATGGGGCTGGCTGCAGAGAGAGCAAGCAGAGACGGCAGCATCTCTTTTGAGTCGACTCAAAAGTCCCTTCCCCCACCCCCTCCCCCCCATTCCTTCCTCCCCCCTCTCGCCTGACTGACATGGATGGGGCTGGCTGCAGAGAGAGCAAGCAGAGACGGCAGCATCTCTTTTGAGTCGACTCAAAAGTCCCTTCCCCCACCCCCTCCCCCCCCATTCCTTCCTCCCCCCTCTCGCCTGACTGACATGGATGGGGCTGGCTGCAGAGAGAGCAAGCAGAGACGGCAGCATCCCTTTTGGGTCGACTCAAAAGTCCCTTCCCCCATCCCCTCCCCCCCCATTCCTTCCTCCCCCCTCTCGCCTGACTGACATGGATGGGGCTGGCTGCAGAGAGAGCAAGCAGAGACGGCAGCATCTCTTTTGAGTCGACTCAAAAGTCCCTTCCCCCAACCCCTCCCCCCCATTCCTTCCTCCCCCCTCTCGCCTGACTGACATGGATGGGGCTGGCTGCAGAGAGAGCAAGCAGAGACGGCAGCATCTCCTTCCACAGGTCCGACCCCTCGTGCTTCACAATCTGAGACAGTGGGGGAGAAAAGACGGAGGAAACGGGGAGGTAATGGGGAGGAGAAGGGGATGAATCGTCTTTACACAGGAAAGAAACTCTTTGCATGAGTCCAAATTTTCATGATTCACCACCAGCAGGAGTGGGGTAGGAGAGAGAAGGCTAAGCAAGGCCTCGAAAGGTTAAGCAGCAGCAGCAGCAGCAGCACAAACACCAGCACCAGAAATAGCACAAGCACCGCCAGAACGACTGACATCAGCCAGGAGGGCAGCAGCCTTGCTGCGGATGGACCAGGGCTCGCCAGCAGTGTCGGCACAGCGCCTGAGCAGGTCAAACGCGCATACTGCCAGCACTAGCAGCAGCACCAGCACAAACATCGAACCGGCCCTAGCACAAGCATCACAGGAACCATCGACTCACATCAGCCAGAAGGGCAGCACCCTTGCTGCGGATGGACCAGGGCTCGCCAGCAGTGTCGGCACAACGCCTGAGCAGATCGAACGCGTACACTGCCAGCCCAGCCTCACCAGAAGCATAAACTCACAGCGACAAGCGACTCACTCACATCAGCCAACAGCGCGGCTGCCTTGCTGCGGATGGACCAAGGCTCCCCAGCAGTGTCGGCGCATCGCCTGAGCAGATCAAACGCGTACACTGCCAGCTTGCGCCTCTCGTCCGCGGGGAACTGCTGCCACTTGTTGCGCGCCACGTTCTTATTGCGGGTGTGGGGGGGTGGGTGGGTGGAGGGTGTGGGGGGAAGAAAAGGAGGGTTCCAAGTGTTGCAAGGTCTCGGAACGCGTACACTGCCAGCCTGCGCCTCTTTTCCGGGGGAAGCTGCTGCCTCTTGCTGCGCGCCACGTTCTTATTGCGGGTGTGGGGTGAAAGGGGAGGAGAGAGTGAGGGCGGGTAGGGGGGAAGAAAAGGAGAGTTGTTCACTGAGAGTAATGGGTAATGAGTCATGGTTCATGCGCCATGGGGTCATGGGTCATGGGTCATGGGGTCATGGGTCATGGGGTCATGGGTCATGGGGTCATGGGGTCATGGGGTCATGGGTCATGGGTCATGGGTCATGGGGTCATGGGTCATGGGTCATGGGGTCATGGGTCATGGGTCATGGGGTCATGGGGTCATGGGTCATGGGGTCATGGGTCATGGGGTCATGGGGTCATGGGTCATGGGGTCATGGGGTCATGGGGTCATGGGTCATGGGTCATGGGTCATGGGGTCATGGGTCATCGGGTCACAAATTATGGGTCACGGGTCATGATTCATGGGTCATGGGGTCATGTCATGTGTCATGGATCAGGTAGTGGGACATGGGAAATGGACCGGAGGCATACCTGCAGTAGCTGGAAGGCGAAGAGGCGGGCATGCTCGGGCTGATCGCTGTTGCCTTTCGGGTCAACCCAGATGACCGGCATACCTGGAGCAACACCTGAGGATTGATGAGGTGGCGGCATACCTGCAGCAGCTGGAACGCGAAGAGGCGGGCATGCTCAGGCTGATCGCCGTTCACCAGGTGAGCTGCTAGGGAAGCCTGTCGGTGCGGCTCCTCCTCTGTCTTCAGCTGTGTGAGGGGAAAGGAGGGTTGGGAGGTTGAAGGGGTGGCAGGGAAGGCGATGAGAATGTGTGTGCTGGACTGGAGAGAATGGGGCACACGTGACTTGGAGAGGAGACGCCTGACGGTGCGGCTCCTCCTCTGCCTTGAGCTGTGTGAGGGGAAAGGAGGGTTGGGAGGTTGAAGGGGTGGCAGGGAAGGCGATGAGAATGTGTGTGCTGGACTGGAGAGAATGGGGCACACGTGACTTGGAGAGGAGACGCCTGACGGTGCGGCTCCTCCTCTGCCTTGAGCTGTGTGAGGGGAAAGGAGGGTTGGGAGGTTGAAGGGGTGGCAGGGAAGGCGATGAGAATGTGTGTGCTGGACTGGAGAGAATGGGGCACACGTGACTTGGAGAGGAGACGCCTGACGGTGCGGCTCCTCCTCTGCCTTGAGCTGTGTGAGGGGAAAGGAGGGTTGGGAGGTTGAAGGGGTGGCAGGGAAGGCGATGAGAATGTGTGTGCTGGACTGGAGAGAATGGGGCACACGTGACTTGGAGAGGAGACGCCTGACGGTGCGGCTCCTCCTCTGCCTTGAGCTGTGTGAGGGGGAAGGGGTGTTGGGAGGTTAAACAAGTGGCAGGAACTGTGATCAGGACGCGCGTGCTGGAGAGAGAGGGGCTCACGTGTCTTAAAAAGGAGACGCCTGACGGTGCGGCTCCTCCTCTGTCTTGAGCTGCGTGAGTGGAAAGAGAGTTGAGAGATAGAGGGGGTGGCAGCCAACGCGAGCAGGATTCGTATGTTTCTGGCCCAAGTAAAACGGCCTAACCAAACCCTCTACTCTGGCTTGACTGACCAAGCGATGGAAAGTCCGTGGGCTATTGAGGCAGGAAGGAACGCACTGGCTGCGAAACAGCCAGCAGGACCAGGAGTGCCGTTTATGGTCAGGATCTTCGGGCAAAAGTATCAAGAGGAGCAGCGCCGTCGGATGACCAGGCTACAGTCAGGATCGGGTTACTTACGTATAGCAGGTAACCTGTCCGCGTCTATTTCTGAGCACATAAGGCCACGGTTTACAGGAATTCCGGGAGAACTTTGAGTCAACTCAAAACGTCCACTGAACAGCAATGATCACCTTTTCGAGGAATTCCGTGGCCGCAGCACGAGACGCCTGATCCGTCCGCCAATCAACGGCGACAGCGAGGGCCTGCAGCACCGCCTGGAGCTCTGTCGCCTCGTCCATTGCCGTATCCCCGCTAAAAGCCGATCTGGTATAAACGTAAGACAAATCGGCTGTATGCAAGTGCGCGCAGCACTGTCTAACGCGCCGCTGCGTCGCCCATTTCGGGTGTTACTAAATGATTTCACCGTTCGCTATCACCACCCCGAATTCGGCGTCATTTCTGCATTTCCTTATCACCGGACCGAAAGCGGCCTTATTGCGACTCTGGGACAACGAACCGGATTCAGAATCTAATGCCGATTCCTCTGAGATTCAAACTGCCCCTGTGAAGTAAAGCACTTGCAGACTTCGGCTGGCAAGAGCTGAGAGAATCACTACCAGCTTTCATCGAATCCCGCACCACTTACATCGCCCTGGCAATTTCTAGAACGCAGAGAATCCTCGACCATCTGGCAGCACAACAGGCAGGAACCCTGAACCTGAATGCCTCGGTTCTGCCGAATTTGTTCCTTATTATTTGTTTTACCCTCTTATTTTCGTGCATTTTGATCGTTTGAGGCACCTTGATGTGATAACGGAAAATGACCCCTATCCACCCAGTTTTATCTATAGTGTGTTTTTTTCATTGTTTGACGGTTTATAGAGAAAATTAATATATTGGTCATTTATATAAGCTACTTGCTTTGAGATACACAGTAAGCTATTTTATCCTTGATACTTATAGTCATGTCTTGCTGGCATGTACCTGGAACCCCCTTATTTTAAATCGGGCCTCCTTTAGAGCAGATCACATGGCGTGATGCTGAAGCAACACAGGCTCCGTCTGCCATGAGACGTCGCCGTCAAGTTCGCCAACGTCGAAAGAACCGCCTGGACTGGGCGTTCTCCTCTCACTTCACCCTATCCGTTTCTCGGTGATTGGTGATTTTGCTCATGGCATGTCAAAACCCGTGTCGCCACGTCGTTTTCTCACGCCTTCCATACCTAGCTCGAGGCTGTGTACAAGCCAAGCCTGCCCTTTGGTTCTGGGATTTCTTGTTCGGGCTGTGGAGTCTCTCTCAGTCGGTTCGGACAGCCTAGAATTTGTCTGTGTCTGGTGACGTCAGTGGTCCCCACACCGCATCGAACCCTCCCTAAGCCCGTGGGAAAACATCAATAACGAACGGGATATTCGCCCACTAGCTGGCTGCCTCCAAACCTGGAACCACCAGCAAAAACCAAGCCATCATACATATCAAACCAGATTTCCCAAAGTCCACCCGAACCGTGCTTCCTGGTTTGCAGCAGCCACCCGAGCCGAGAGTGAGGGCAAACCAAAACGGAAGACAGGAAGGGATGAATGAGCATTGACAGACAGAGAACCCTAGGACGGAAGAGATGAGAGCCATTCTCCTGTGCTGCTATTGAGTTCCCCTTCCAGTTTGCCCTTCCAAGTTCAAGTTCAGGTTCCAGCTTGAGCTCTCTGAGGCACTGGAGTGTGCTTCCAAGTGCTTTTTGGCATTTCTGACTTTCTTGCTTCCCCTTGTAAATCTGCTGTGCTCGTTTCTCTTTCTGAGCATTTTGCGACCGTAAATGAAGTAGAAATATTTTACACTTTTAACGAAATTAGCGACGTCCCTGAATGGAGGCTGCACTAACTCACTTACGGGAGCTGTTCCCGAAGGTGGACGTCAGGCTTCTGAAGGCGGCGATTCGCGAACACGGCACGTCGCCGGAAGCCATGGACGAGGTGGTTCAGTACCTCATGGACGAAGCGCTTTCGGATTCCTCGTCTTCCGACGGAGAAATTTCGGACGAGGACGATGTCGAGGATACCAATACGGTAAGTGATTCCGTTCCGGTCTTCTAGGGCGGCTTTATTTGTTCCGTTCTCCTCGTTCTCCCTACTATTCGGTTTCCTGAAGTATTTAAGCTGTAAGTTACTTCGGTTATTCCCTTGCAGGCTTCTACCGGGTTCGCACCATTAGGGAGTGCTGATGGGCACGAATCTTCGTCCCCCATTGACGAGAAGTCTTTTGACGAGACTACCAATAACGAGGATCCATCTGGCGAAGCTGTTAACGAGGAGTCTTTTTTCGAAGCCGAGGAGAATCTCCCCGCGTCAAGAGCTCCTCTGCCAGATTCAGCGGCTTTCAGCGACGATAGGACCATCCTCGGCTTGTCGGAAACTCCGGTGATGACGGTTCTGCCAGCCTCTCCAAACTTGTACAGTGAAAATAGAGTTGGTGAGGAGGGAGAGAAACACGATGAGCAGGACCTTTCCGCCCTCGTCGCAACTGGCCAAGGTCCAGACAGCATCAGCACCATCGGCACCATCGATACCACCAGCACCATTGATACCACCAGCACCATTGATACCACCAGCACCATTGATACCACCAGCACCATTGATACCACCGGCACCATCGGCGCCACTGACGAAAGATCAGCAGACTCGTTAGAAGCACCTCTGACGGCTTCTTCCGATAGCGAAGATTTTGGAGAACTCATGGCGGGAAGTGCACCGCCGTTGGATGCGACGCTGGAAGAATCTGTGGACGGCGCAGATCTGGTTCATGAAAATTTCAAAGAAGACGCTATTAACGGTGATAAGGCTGATGGGACCCAAGTCGAGGGTGAATCTATCTTCGCTTCTGGTGCTACTGATGGGACCGAAGAGGAAGAGGAGAAAGCGGAGGTGGAGAAAGCGGTCGTTGTGAATGAACCCGAGGGTGAACCGGAGAGTGAACCCGAGGGTGAACTCGAGGGTGAACCCCAACAGGCGGACGGAGGGAGCAAGGGCGGTGCTGGGGTGGGTCGAGAAGAGATTCAGGGCGAGCCTGAGCAGGCTACGCACAAAGCAGTACCTGTAGTGGAGAAAGGAGAGGAGAGGGACGAGGCTGTAGCGGTGCTAGAGGAGAGCAAGGGAGAGGAGGTCAGGCTGGAGGACGTCTTTAAGGAAGGAGAGGAAACAAAGGAGGGAAAGCAAGAGAAACGAGAGGATGAGCGCGAGCAAGAGGTGAAAGATGAGGGGCAAAAGGAGCGGGAAGAGGAGGAGGAAGAGTGCGAGCATGTGGAGGTACCAGAGAGCCTAGTGAACAGCTGGAGCCGGTCCTTCGTGGAGGTCGAAGTCAGCACCATTGCCCACCACGTGGCCTCCACGAGGGATGCCAAATCCCGCCTCGACGCCCAGCTAGCATCCGTTCAGACGCTCCTCTCGGAGGTGGAGCGCGCCGAGCAGCAGGCAGCCGCAGCTGAAACCGCTCTGTCCCATGCTGGCGAGGCTGACGTTGCCGAAGCTGAGAACGTGCTTCGGCACGTGGTTCGGTCGCAGCAGGCGCTGGAGATCCGCGCGGCGCAGGTGTTTGGGCACCGGGCGCAGCTGCAGGAGGATTCGCAGGGGCTTAAAGCCCGGGTCGAGGCCATTCAGGGTCAATTCGCGGAGGTGGAGAGGCAGGTGGAGGAGTTGAGAGTGGTGCTGGAGGGGAGGTTGGAGCGGGCGAGGGAGAGGATAGGCGAGTTGGAGAGGAGGAGGAGGGAGAGGGAGGAGGCGGGGAGGAGGAAACTGGAAGGGGCGGAGAGGGAAATGGGGCGGGTTCTGGGGGAGGTGCCGGGGCTGGAGAGGCAGGAGCGGGCGTGTGCTGAGCTGGCAGATGCACTGGTGGCACGTCACCACGAGGCTGACGTGTTGGAGGGACAGCTGGCAGTGTTGCGAGAGGACCTGGCGGCGCTGGTGAGGGGCGTGGGGCGGCTGCCGGGGCTGCCGGGACAGGCAGCGGAGGACCTTGGGTACTCGTTTCTGACTGAAGGAGGAGAGGAAGATGGTGCAGGTGAGTGGAGTAGAGGGGCCTGTGATGTGTGTGGTTGGTAGTGAGGGGCGTGGGACAGCTTCCTGGGCTGTGTGGGCTGCGTTGGCTGCTTAAGAATGGGGAGGATGACTTGGCTTAATCGTTTCTGTGTGTGGTTTGGTGGCGGTTTGGAATCATGTGCGTTCTGTGTAGGCTGCACATGCCCCAATGCATTCTGCGTGTTTATGTCTCCTCATGCTGCTCTCTCTCTGTCCTCGTCTCTTTCCTTTCCATCCTGCTCTCTGTTTTTGTTCAATCAGGCCAGAGGCAGGAACCTTATCATTCTCTTCACGAGGGTCTGTCACACACCTCTTCAGCAGCGTCGGCACCTGATGCCATTCTGCCTGCCGTGCCGGCCGCTCCCGTCGCAGATCTCACAGTTCAAGACCAGAGCGTTGCAGGAGCATTGGGCTTGACCAGCCCTGAAATCCCTGCTTCCGGGGGTAACTTGAAGGCAGCTGCTGATGATGATGACACTGCTGGCGTTGGCGCAGCTGGCACTGCTGCTCTGTACTCTGAGCTTTGCAATGCCCAAAACCTTGGCGCATCCACTGCCGGCGCTGCCGCTGCCGCTGCCGCTGCCGCTGCCGCTGCTGCTGCTGCTGCTGCAGGTGACTCTTCATTCAGCGACACCACTGCTGCTGCTCCAACTGCTGCCATGGAGAGCAGCTCCACCCTCGCCACGCCCTCTCCCTTTGAAGTCGAGGAGCAGTTTAAGGCAAAGATGCGTGAAATGTCTAGCATGCTCAAGGAAACCCTCCCCATGGCCCACTCCCGGTTTCCCCACACCCAACCAAGCATCCAGCAGCAGCAGCAGGAGCTACAGCTACAGCAGGCAGGCTTGGAAAGTGGATTGGCTGAGAGTAGCACTGGAGTGGAAGGGGTGACGATGATCGAAGATGGCGACTGGAGCGTGCTGGAAGCTTCTGATGTGTTCACGGCGTCAGGGCTAGGTGGGGCGTCAGGATTTACTGCAGCTGGTAATGGGGCTGGTGGTGATGCTGGTGGGGCGTTGGGGGGTGATGATGAGGCACGGTGGTCGGGGCACAGTTCGTTCAGTGTGCATGCCGGCAGCACTCCTCGGGCGAGGGAGGGAGGGGTTGTGAGGACCGAGAGTGGTGGGATTAGTGAGGTGATGGAACGGTATTTCGGCAGCAGTGAGTAGAGAGAAAGTGCAGAGCGGCAATGGCGGTGGCATGATGATGCACGGGTGGTCTGGGCACAGCTCGTTCAGTGTACATGCTGACAGCACTCGTGGGGGGCAGCGGCAGTGTGTGTGTGAGGCTCGGTGGTCTGGGAGGGAGGGGAGACCAGTGGCAGTGCATGATGAGGCTCGGTGGTTTGGGCACAGCTTGTTCAGCGTGCATGCTGACAGCACTCTTGGGGGCCAGGGAGGGAGGGGCTGGGAGGGGTGAGAGTGGCGGTGGGATTAGCTTTGCTGGGCTGGGCACATGTGTGTGCTGTGTACATAGCTTTCCAGTATTGGTACTTGAGGTGAACGGTAGAGAAGTGAGAAGTGTGTCTGGTTAGAGTAAAAAAGACTGTATATGTGGGAAGGAAGTGAGTTTCAAGTGATGTTTGACGTTTTCCTTCTTATATCAAAGCATGCAAATGTGTAAAATTGTAAAGCCTTTATTGTATGCAGGCTTTCTATGCACTGTTTTAAGCTAGTGGGAAATTCACTAGAGAGTACAACCCTTTTTTAGGGTTGTTGTAAGGAATTTTCTCGACAGACATTCCTTGGCGCATCCTACAACATCGCGTACAGCAGCAGCCGTTGTTCGCCCGTTACTGATTACGGGGCTTCGCCGACTTCGCGCGCACTGTTTCACCAAACCATGCACCGCTGGCCCGGCCGTGTCGGCCTACGCTTCGGGACTAGCCCAAGCTTCGATGCCAGCCTAGCACTAGCTAGCTCGCAAGCACTAGCTAGCTCGCACGCACCGCGTTACCGTTTGCATGTTTCGCGTATAAATGTTCGCTCATGCCTTCGCTCATTTTTTGTACTCGTTTGACACTTGGTGCAATCCTCGCTACCTCGATTCATTGCAACTGTAACACTTGGTATTCAGAGCTACTTTCTTTCGGACCGCGCATCTCCGCACCCCAAGAAATCAACTTTTGATTTTTCACTTGAAGGGACTCACGCACCTTAGCCTCTAGGAGCCGCTGTCCTCGCGTTCTCTCGTAAACGCGTGCAGCCCAGGGCTGACGTTTCATTTTGGGCCTCCCTGATTTCGGGAAAAAAATCCCCCCTGTATTATGAGGGCACATTTTTCAGAGGTTTGCTACTCTGATTGGTCAGTGTCCAACAACGTCTCACTCTGATTTGTCAGGGTTCAGAGCAAGAAATAAGTGTTGCAGTCAATCACACAAATTTCTCCCACGCGGATTATACATTTCCCACGCCTCACTTCCTGGTCGGTCAAAGTCAACAGAAAACGATATCGCGTGGTGTCCAGGCCTGTCGATTCAAGGGCATATGCCCTTAATGCCCTGAACATTCCGGGCTACTTCCGCTCTAGCTCGACTGCATTAAGTGTTAGATTCGCACTGCACCCGTGCCACTAAGTGCCTCGTTCGACCCTTCCCTGGATGCGTTAAGGGCCCAAACCAGGCCCTCCCCTGTCTCAAAGTTCCGGTTTCTGGTTGTAGGAAACCCCCCCCTTTCTCCTAAGGTTGCACGAGAGGAGTGGATTTTTCCCTTAGCGTTTTCTGTTGGAAACAATCGGTCTTAAGCGCCTCTGTCGTGTCGAAACACCAAGACACAAGCGAAGCAAAGTATATCGAGGCACCAGCGAGTCAACCCTCGGAGGTTGAAGCAACCGCTGGAGGTTACGGGGAAATCAAAGGTCAGCGACCTTTGACCTGACGAATACAGCGCGTCAGCAAGGACACACAACTGACTCGCTACAGAGCAGTTGCCCGAGTCGTCACTGTATCGAACCGCAACAGCAACAGTAAAGTAGTTACAACCGTACCTCTTCGTATTCCTTGTACTCTTATATATATTCTTGTATCTCTTTGTTTCAATCAATCTACTTTGCCCTCACATACTAGCGCAAGGTGGTTCACAACTTTTCAATTGACGCTTCCGCTATTACACCAACTCTACCCAGAGTTCACCCCTGTAAAAGATCCTAAGGGCCTTTTCAGCCCAACATGGTATGAGAGCTATCAGGGGGAATTCAACTTCTATACCGGGAACATCAACAGGCATGGCTACACAAAAAGAAAGGAGCAACTCCAACGGCTCCCAGGACACTACACCTACTCCACCTCCTGCCTCTGGCCTACAGACAGAGGAGGGCACGGCAACGAGACCAAGGGCGACGTCTACCGAGACTCCCACGAACCAACCTGCAGACTTCGACCAGAGCATGATGGAGAAGTTCTTCTCCTTCATGTCCTTCTACGAGCAACACCAGCAATCGGCACCTGCGCAGTCACACAACAGCAACAACAACGGAGCAACGCCTATGAGTCTCGACGGCTCATCATATGCACGAGGAAATCAACAACAACAGCCTACCTTTGCTCCGTACGAACGCGGGTCCATCAGCTTCATGCCACACCCGCAGCCTTCACCTGGACAAGAAAGGTCACTGGACGCATTACAAGTTCAGTCGCAGTTCGCACACGTTCTGAAGATGCAGACGTCAAGACCATTCGATGGAAAGGACTTCTTCACCTGGTCGTTTGAATTCGAGCTGATGATGGAAGGCGCGCAGATACTTGGCTTCTTCGACGGGTCCCTGCCATACCCAACAAACAGCACACAGTACGAGAAGCAGCAGTACACCTATCAGTCAATGATGGCGTACACGATTCTACTGAGGAGCATCACCCCGACTCAACAGCAGAACATACGATCTTACCGGGGTTACGGCAACTCCGCGGAGCTCGCGTACAACCACCTGAAGAGCCTGTATCAAGCAACAGACAGCGTAAGTCAAAGTCGGTTAATGGCGCAACTGACAACAGTTGAAATGAAACCGGGAGAAAAGGGAATGGCATATATCAGCCGCTGTCGCGAACTGCGCGACAAGCTCCTTCGATGCGGAGGGTCGATATCTGAAGACGCCTTCGTGACAGTTATCATCGGCGGCCTCAGTCCTCAATGGCGCGCCACGAAAGCTATTCTCCGAGCACATGGAAGAATCTCCGAAGCAGCACTCTGCGCCGAAATCCACGCCGAGCAACAAGACATGGATCTGCAAGAAGAACGACACAAAAAGAAGACATCAGCACCGGAATTCGCGTTCCACACTCAGCGACGCTACAACAACAACAACAACTGGCAGCAGCAACCGAAGCCAGTACCTCCGTTCTGCCACATCTGCAAGACATCAGGGCACCCGCGCACGCACTGCCCGAATCGTCAACAGTCAACAACTCCACAGCGGCAACTTCGACCTTCAAGCAGCCAAATCGCCTCAACGCAAGCAAATCCCACGACCCAGGTTCAAGCTTCAACAACTTCAACGGGACAACCTGCACAAGGAGCAAGAAACATCGTCAGCTGCATGGCAAAGCTGAGTGACTCCTGCATCACCGGGTCACCACCACACTACTCACCGGAAGAACAACTCGACGAAACCACACCCCGCCGCGAGTCACTTCAGCCGAACCCGACATACGCCACCATCGCCCAAAGCGAACCATCCGGAAAGGACACATGGTTCTTGGACAGTTGCTGCGGACAGCACATGTGCTCCTCGGGACGCTTCGTTCAACGAGAACACCAACTTCAACGCGAAGTCGTCATTACAGTCGCCAACAATCAGAACCTGCGAACACGACGACAAGGCGTAGTTCAACTTCAGTCAAGGGAAACAAACGTTATACTGCAGATGTCAAAGGTACTAATCGCGGAGGGACTCGGCTACAACTTACTGAGCGTCAGTCAGTTGATGGCGAAGGGCATTCACCTCGAGGCAGACAGCACCACCCAAGAATTCAAGCTGTATCACGGGAGAGGAGGACTTTACATCGGCAAGGCGGTCCTCAAGAACGTCTTCGTTCTTGACTTCGTTCCTGATCTTGGCACCGCCGACAGCGACGCCATCGTTAACTTCACCAACTGGACACACCCTCCAGACCTTGATCCAGACTTCAGTCCAGAAGGCTTCTGGTATTCACACACCATCCCTGAGGCAGAAAGAACAAGGGCGTTAGCAACAATTCAGACAACATCAGCAGCAGCAGAGACAACATCGGCAGCAGCAGAGACAACATCGGCAGTATCAGAACCATCAACGGCAGCAGCAGGAACGTCAACACCAATTGCTGGTCCTTCAACGGCACCGCTCCTCATCGATGACACACCACTGACACCCGCGCAACAACTACACCCAGCACCACGAGAAGTTCATCGTAGCGCCAACTTCACCGCCAACTTCTACTCCAACTCCGATCTGTACCGACGATCACCCGGACATCGCGCCGACGAAAGCACCTGGCACGCAACGTGCTTCACCTGCCCTGAAGGTGACTTACCACATCGACCGTTCGCGTCTCACCATAACCCAAGCGCACCAGCTTACGCGCCACTCGAGAAGGTATACAGCGACATCCTGTACAATCGCGAGCCGGGGCAGAACACGTACAACTACACCATCACGTTCATCGACGCCGCGACACGTTACGTTTGGCACCTGAATCTTCCAAGCAAGGATATGGCGTTCGAAGCGTTCGTCGCCTGGCTTCCCGTAGCAGAAAGGGAATCGGGCGTCAAACTAAAGAGCTTCCAGTCAGACGGGGGAGGAGAATACACCTCACAGAGGTTCAAGCAGTACTTGGCTGAAAGAGGAATCAAGCGGCTCATTTCCCTTCCCTACGCCCATCAACAGTAGGGTGTAGCAGAGAGGATGAACAGGACCCTCCAGAACACCATGCGGAAACTGTTACGTGGCATGCGGCTACCCACTCACCAGTGGCCAGAAGCAATGGACCACGCCGTGATGCTGCACAACTTGCTTTCTTCGTCGTCACTACCGAACAACACATCACCGCATCTGCTGTGGACAGGAAAACTGGGCAGCACAAAAATGTTACGAGTCTTCGGCTGCATGGTACAGTACCGACCTCCATCTGCACGAGCAGGACGATTCTCCCAACGGGCACAGTGGGGACTACACCTGGGCATCGAAAAACACTACAACG